TTAATAAGCCGGTACCAGAATGACTCATCACGCGACTTTTAATATCGGACCTTTTAATTGAAACGCACACGCCATCTGCATTCTAATACCGAAACCGTTCCGAATAAAACCATTTTAATGTAAAAACTTTCTGGGATTATTGTTCTGTATATTTTTTCCATTTTGTCGACGGCCAAAAAGTTTGTGACGTTTATGAATTTCTGATTCAATTCAGATTAAGGGCGAGCAAGGTAGATAGATGTGCGCAATGTCGGCATATTTTTTTCGTTAATCTTCAGAGGTATTCGCGGACATTCTGTATTCTTGTTTCTGTTTAAGGAGCGTTATATTTTGTATGATCCAATAATCTATAATATTATAATCTATACTAATATTATAATGCTGAAGAGGTTTTTTTGTTTGTTTGTTTGAATGCGCTAATCTCAGGAACTGCTGCTTCGATTTGAAAGAATATTTCTGTGTCGGATAGCCCATTTATCGAGGAAGACTTTAGGCTAAGTAACATCACCCTACAGTCAATAGGAGCGGAGTAGTGAAAAAAAAAAGTTGCAAAAACGGAACTACACTCGGCATCAAATAAATCGCACCTCCCGCGACAAGCACTTATGAAACGTATGCATCCCCACTTCCCACCAACATTGGTACCATTTGAAAGCCTAGTTCTAAACTTCATTTCATTAAAGGAAAGGTTTTTACCCCAAAAATGTGTCTTTACAACGATCCAGAGTTACTTCTTCAAAAAATAGGTCGTTACGCTATAGCCATTTTTTATGACTATAAAACTGTTAAGTTGGGATTAATCGCTATCCATCTGTTAAAGAGGACACGTGAGATCTTTATTTGGTTTTATAACCATAAAAATTGGTCTAATTGATCCCAGAGGTGAGCCCAAAGTTAGGTATATTTTCAAGTCACATTTTTGGTATATGTTAATCATTTATTTAGAAATTAAATGTATTTTTCTTTAAGGATATTTCGTTTCAGCCAAATGGCTGACATCATGGTGGTCAACAACAATATTGGTGTTATTTAAAAGCCCAATAAGGATATTTATTGGGCTTTTAAATAACACCAATATTGTTGTTGACCACCATGATTGTGTCAAAACAGACGCGTGCGAAGTCGCGGGAACAGCTATTTTAAAAACGTTGTTCGCAGATAACTTTTACAAACTTTAGTAAGAAATTGTGAACTGAAGCGTTATTTTAATAGGCATAGTTACAAACATAGTATACAAAGTCAAGATTTTCATTTTAAATTAATTTTACTAGACAATGTAGATGTGTGAATTTTCAGTTTATTTTTAGACGAATAAACACTACAAACTTAAGTTACTTAAAATTACGACACCCTTTTATTCTTACATGGCCTTCTTAACCTTCTACGAGTAGAGACACTAACTTTAAGTGGACTCCATGGACCTATAAAAAAAGGCGGACGGAACTCGCGCTACAACAAAACTGTGACGCAAAATTTTGGCGTTTGTCTATTGTGTGAGTGAATTTAGGGATGCCATGTTAGCCAAAACATTTTACCCATTTATTTTAAGAAAAACATAGATCGGCAGATGTTAGACTTTAAACTTCCTATTAGTTCCCATAGCATAGCGAGGAACCAAAGCCAAACCAAAGACGGTAGGCGGGAGTTTGCCCGGTAGGCGGGAGTTTGCCGCGCGCCGCACGCTCTCCAAGCTGCGCTCCAGCGTCAACGACTCCGACTCCGACTAGGTATGTGGGATATAAGAGGGCGTCCATTAATTAAGTGAGACGTTTAGGGGAGGGAGGGGGTCAAGAAAAACCTCACTAAATCTCACGTAGGGGAAAGGGGGGGGTCTCGATAAATATCACGTAATTTTTTTCAGCTAGAAAAAGGGTCAAATTTCGAGAAAATGTCCTCCCATGCCCGGCAGCCATCAAAATTCGTTCGTCAACTTCAGTTCATAGGTTCAATAGCAATCGAAGTTGGAGCTAAACCGTCTAAACAGTAAAGAAATTAGAAGAAACAGTTTTTTTTATATGAAATCCTAATCGAAGCTAACCCTTACATTGGAAATATGTATTTTAAAAAATCTCACGTGAGATTGTGGGGAGGGGGAGGGGGTCTGGTAAAATCTCACCAAGGGGGGCGGGGGGGTTAAAAATTTGCCAAAATTGTCTCACGTAATTAATGGACGCCCCCTAAGACTAAACTTCCCATAGCATAGCGAGGAAGACGGTGGGTGGGAGTTTGCCCGCGCGCCGCACGCTCTCCAAGCTGCGTTCTAGCGTCAACGACTCCGACTCCGACTAGGTATGTGGGATATGAGACTTTAAACTTCAGGCTGGACAAGACAATATTTCTCCGGACAGGCCGGACAAGACAATATTCCTCCGGACAGGCCGGACAAGACAATATTTGGCCGGACAAGCTACTAAAAAGCCAAACATGTCCGGCTAAAGCCGGACGCCTGGCAACCCTAGGTGAGCGGGAGTTTGGTTTAACATGCCGTGAGTACATATGTAACTCATATAAAAAATGTCGCGTTGGGACCCGTGTTTCTCTATTTTAGATATGTACTGGCGGGAGGCAGTGGTTGTAAGGCACCGCTCCCGTGCCCGGGATATGCGGTCAGGAAGGGAACTAACTCCCTAGTGAGCCTAGAGTCCCTATTCCCTAAGACACTAAGTCCCTAGAGTCCTAGCCCTGCCTAACAATAAATACTTAGACATAATAAGGTGTGCTAGGAAGGAAGCTGCTCCCAGGTCGCCCAGGGCAGCAGCGTTAGGACGGCAGGTAGGCGGCGGGGACCCGCTGCCAGCCCGGCAGACTCACCGGACTGATCATAGCGACGGCTAAGGGTGTCTTGGCCGCAGCGGGGGGGAAATGAGACACAACGACGGACGGTTGATATCAGCCGTCCGTCGTTGTGTCTCATTTCCCCCCGCTGCGGCCAAGACACCCTTAGCCGTCGCTATGATCAGTCCGGTGAGTCTGCCGGGCTGGCAGCGGGTCCCCGCCGCCTACCTGCCGTTAACGCTGCTGCCCTGGGCGACCTGGGCACAGCTTCCTTCCTAGCACACCTTATTATGTCTAAGTATTTATTGTTAGGCAGGGCTAGGACTCTAGGGACTTAGTGTCTTAGGGAATAGGGACTCTAGGCTCACTAGGGAGTTAGTTCCCTTCCTGACCGCATATCCCGGGCACGGGAGCGGTGCCTTACAACCACTGCCTCCCGCCAGTACATATCTAAAATAGAGAAACACGGGTCCCAACGCGACATTTTTTATATGAGTTACATATGTACTCACGGCATGTTAAACCAAACTCCCGCTCACCTAGGGTTGCCAGGCGTCCGGCTTTAGCCGGACATGTTTGGCTTTTTAGTAGCTTGTCCGGCCAAATATTGTCTTGTCCGGCCTGTCCGGAGGAATATTGTCTTGTCCGGCCTGTCCGGAGAAATATTGTCTTGTCCAGCCTGAAGTTTAAAGTCTCATATCCCACATACCTAGTCGGAGTCGGAGTCGTTGACGCTAGAACGCAGCTTGGAGAGCGTGCGGCGCGCGGGCAAACTCCCACCCACCGTCTTCCTCGCTATGCTATGGGAAGTTTAGTCTTAGGGGGCGTCCATTAATTACGTGAGACAATTTTGGCAAATTTTTAACCCCCCCGCCCCCCTTGGTGAGATTTTACCAGACCCCCTCCCCCTCCCCACAATCTCACGTGAGATTTTTTAAAATACATATTTCCAATGTAAGGGTTAGCTTCGATTAGGATTTCATATAAAAAAAACTGTTTCTTCTAATTTCTTTACTGTTTAGACGGTTTAGCTCCAACTTCGATTGCTATTGAACCTATGAACTGAAGTTGACGAACGAATTTTGATGGCTGCCGGGCATGGGAGGACATTTTCTCGAAATTTGACCCTTTTTCTAGCTGAAAAAAATTACGTGATATTTATCGAGACCCCCCCCTTTCCCCTACGTGAGATTTAGTGAGGTTTTTCTTGACCCCCTCCCTCCCCTAAACGTCTCACTTAATTAATGGACGCCCTCTTATATCCCACACACCTAGTCGGAGTCGGAGTCGTTGACGCTGGAGCGCAGCTTGGAGAGCGTGCGGCGCGCGGCAAACTCCCGCCTACCGGGCAAACTCCCGCCTACCGTCTTTGGTTTGGCTTTGGTTCCTCGCTATGCTATGGGAACTAATAGGAAGTTTAAAGTCTTATATCCCACACACCTAGTCGGAGTCGGAGTCGTTGACGCTGGAGCGCAGCTTGGAGAGCGTGCGGCGCGCGGCGGGCGTGTCGTCCTCCTCGTCCGAGGAGATGACGATGCGCTGGCGCGGCTTCACGCCCGTCGCCTGCAGTTTAGAGTCTTATATCCCACATACCTACTCGGAGCCTACACAGGATGACGCTGTGCGAGTCTGCACTACGCCCATGCGGCGAGGAAGTCGAAGAGAGCCGCGATCACACACTTTGGGAATGTAACCTCTATGACGAAGCTCGACAGAAGATGCTGGATGCGATACGGAGAGCCGAGCAAGGACCTGTTTATCACCAGGACCTCACGAGTAGTCGCAGTAACTGGACCGCGCTGCGCGAGTTGGCACACGATCAGGCGAAGTTACGAGAAGAAGTGATGACATTTATCAACGATAGCAGTCCGACGCGAAGTACCGTATCTGTGGTGGCAAGCCCCAGAAGGGGGAGAATGACTGAGAAGGGACATGGATCAGATAAATTTGTAGAGAGTCAAGCAAAGCGCCCGGGGAAAGGAGCCCAGAGCAAGTACCCGCGCGCTCTCCCGAGATTCGGTTCGTACGCCGTGAGGCAGGAAGAACCATGGGTGGTGGTGGGATATATCTAAAATAGAGAAACACGGGTCCCAACGCGACATTTTTTATATGAGTTACATATACTCACGGCAAGTCGTTTCGGCTGCTAAACTGCTGTGCGCCCACCGTCTTTGGTTTGGTTCCTCGCTATGCTATGGCAAGTTTAAAGTCTATATCTCACATACCTAGTCGGAGTCGGAGTCGTTGACGCTGGAGCGCAGCTTGGAGAGCGTGCGGCGCGCGGCGGGCGTGTCGTCCTCCTCGTCCGAGGAGATGACGATGCGCTGGCGCGGCTTCACGCCCGTCGCGCCGCGCGTCATGCGACGCGATGCCGCGCTCTCGCCGCCTTCCAGGGCCGCTGCGGAACGAAAGAGACAGTGTTAGTTAGCTGACCGACGAGTAAGGGCTGGGACTTCTTGGCGGGAATCTGAAGCGTCATGTTAGCGGTTTTGTTTTATTTCCTCAAATTCGGGTTTGGGCGACTATTGATGTGTAATAATGGTGGATTATTAACCATTAAGTGTTCGTTAACGTGCATGAGTGTGGGCAAGTAAAGCAGAGCACTTCAGAGCAGTGCATCGTGATTCTTCTGGTTCTCTCAAGTTGTCCATAAGAGACCTCAGTAAAGCACCACAACTTTACTGAGACTCAAATGGTGGGAAGGGGTATCATCTATCTTGGGGTGGGTACTTTATATTGATGCATGATATAATTATCTATAATACCTTAAAATATTACTTGCCTATCCCATAGACTTCTCATGCTTTTTTTATAAAATCACAAAATCTAATATTTCTTCGAAACTAAGCAAATACAACTACTAAAGCCTGGTCCGTGAGCACGTAGAATCCCGTCCAATGACCCCAAGCTGCCCATCCTTGTCGCTCGCACGTAATTATGTTGCTGTCGCGCTCGCACACTCACTGCGGGCGCGCGTCGCACAGTCGCGACAGCAATATAATTACGCGTGAGCGATAAGGATGGGTAGCTTGGGGTCATTGGACGGGATTCTACGTGCTCACGGACCAGGCTCTAGTTCCTTTATCAATTTTATACATAATAGCAATATCTAACGATTGAATTAATAAAACATGGATGTCCGCTTCTAAGGCAAAATAAAAGACTGTGCATTGGTATCATCCCCATTGGTAATATGAATGAATAGTCTTATTTTATTTTTATTGAAGAACCCTAAAAAATAATTAAACCTATGAGCTCCCCACTCTTCTTTCCTCAGCCCTGTCGCTGCTAGAAGGTCATTCATATTCCGGATTGTTTCTAAGCCCTAAAAACCCACGTATATCTATTGTCCCCCACTAACCTTCCTTCTCTTTGTGCTTGGTGGTCTTGGCATCCAGCTTGGCCAGTTTCTCCTGCTCTTTCTGTCGACCTTGCCCTGCTTATATTGAATTGAAGACCTTTAAAAGCCGTCCGAATCGATATGCTATCTACTAACCTTCCTTCTCTTTGTGCTTGGTGGTCTTGGCATCTCTCTTCGCCTGCTATTATTGAGATGAAGATCCATAAAACCTACGTAATGTCTATTTGCGTACCCACTTTCAAGTACTAACCTTCCTTCTCTTTGTACTTGGTGGTCTTGGCATCTCTCTTCGCCTGCTATTATTGAGATGAAGATCCATAAAACCTACGTATTCTATCACCCATATTCACAAACGATGCTTGCTTAAGTGAAGCAGAAAATTGAACGCACAGCGTTGAATAGAGCTCTGTGATTAGTTCGTGTGTCACCCTGTGCGTCCACACGCACTGTGAGACCTCATAGTAATGTTTGTGAATACGGGCGTATTTCTATTTGCGTTCGTTTTAAGCCCTAAACCCCACGTTCAAGTACTAACCTTCCTTCTCTTTGTGCTTGGTGGTCTTGGCGTCGCGCTTGGCCTGTTTCTCCTGCTCTTTCTGTCGACCTTGGCCTGCTTATATTGAATTGAAGGCCTTTAAAAGCCGTCCGAATCGATATGCTATCTACTAACCTTCCTTCTCTTTGTGGTTGGTGGTTTTGACGTCCACTTAACCTACTTCTCTCCAACCCTGAGATTGTTAGAAGGTACATCATTTTCTGGACTCGCTTTAAACCTTAAATCCCACGCATATTTATCCACAGAGAAAGTCTCACCACACTCGAGAAGATCTTTGAGCTTGGTGGTCTTGACATCTCTCTTGGCCTACTTTTCTCGAATGAAATTCATTCGGGATGGATCTTGGATCCCTAAAACCCACGCTTAAGCACTCTCTCTCACTAACCTTCCTTCTCTTTGTGCTTGGTGGTCTTGGCGTTTAGTTTGACCTGTTTGTCTCCAACCCTGTCACTGCTCCTTTTAGCAGTATCTATCATCTTCTGGACTTGTTCTAACCCCTAAAACCCGCGTTCAAGTACTGTTCCCCGCACTAACCTTCCTTCTCTTTGTGCTTGGTGGTCTTGGCATCTCTCTTCGCCTGCTATTACTGAGATGAAGATCCATAAAACCTACGTATGTCTATTTGCGTACCCACGTTCAAGTACTAACCTTCCTTCTCTTTGTGCTTGGTGGTCTTGGCGTCGCGCTTGGCCTGTTTCTCCTGCTCTTTCTGTCGACCTTGGCCTGCTTATATTGAATTGAAGGCCTTTAAAAGCCGTCCGAATCTATATGCTATCTACTAACCTTCCTTCTCTTTGTGCTTGGTGGTCTTGGCGTCTTTCTTGGCCTGTTTCTCCTGCTCCTTCTTGTCCTGCTTGGCCTGTTTGAGCGCGCGGCACTTGTCGATGGTGGGCTTGCCCTCCAGCCCTGCGGCTGTTAGGAGGTCCATCATCTTCTGGACTCGTTCCTTGTTCTTTGTGCAGCCTGGAAGGGAGAAGTGAAAGTTAGGTGAGACTTTAGGCGAGCTACTACAACACTCAGTGGAGTATCGCTAATTTAATAGGGATGTTTCCTGGGTCAAAAAGCAAGAGTTTTAATTAGTCCGTCAGTTAACTTATCAAAAAATACTCTACACGTATTTGTCACTTTTTCAAACTAATGAACATTTAAAGAGATAGAGCGCGCCAAAGTTCATAAGAAGAGGCCCGTGACGTCAATGCTTGCATAAAAGTGCCGCACGTTGTGACGTCGTGCGGAACTTCAACGCACCATAACTATGTAATTATTTGTTAGATTGACAAATAAAAAAATATGTGTCCAATATTTTTTGATATTAAACATGACGGACTAAAAATATTTTTTTAGGAAACTAGCCTATTATGTGTTAGGCCAGGTTTGTACCAAAGCGGAGAGAAGAGCTTAGGAGATGATAGATATTTGGCGAAGCTAGCAGGTTATTTCTAACAAAGCGATAAAAGATACGAGACGAGAGATGTGCTAAAAACAAATCGGAGAGGAGAGGAAATGTGAGCTGTGCGTACCGGAAACGTGAGTGCTTTAAACATCAATTTCAAATTAGGCCTTTCATTAGGTCTACCTAATAACGTGGTGAAAGTAGCGGAAAGGGCCTGGATGCAGACAGCACAGGGCCTGTCGTTGTGAAAATCGAGACTTTTGTCTGGCAGTGGAAGTTTTTAGGTTGAAAATAAGAAGACATTCAATTTATAAATTATAAAGAAGTTCTACTCAATGTTTGCAGAAACGTGATCTCCACTCAATAAATCCACTACTCTATTTAATTTTTAAATGATGATACCACACAAATACGACTCCAAATGACACCTACCTTCAACCAGCTTCTTATAATCGAAGCGTATTCCGGCGGCCTTGCAGAACTTCTTCATGTCAGTGATGCCCGGCTGGCGGAGTTCCGGCGGCACCGGCGGGCGCCCGCGCCGGCCGACCGAACCCGGCGTGCCCGCCGGTTTAGGGCTCCCAGAGTTCTTGGAGCCCTTCGGCCGGCCTGGGCCGCGTTTTAGAGGCGTCTCCTGAGAACCATCCTGTGTTATGAGTCACTTTAAAACTTTATCATTTATTTATTTATGTCGGCCGTTTGGTGTAGTGGTTCGAAATCGACTACTATTCCGGAGGTAGCGGGTTCGATTCCCGCACAGTACAAACATTTGTGTGCATGAACATATTTGTTTGTATTGGACTGGGTGTTTTCTATGTATAAGTACTAAGTAGTATTTACAAAAAAAAGTATTTAAGTATGTTTATATCCGTTGTCTAGTACCCATAGTACAAGCTTTGCTTAGTTTGGGACTAGGAGCGCAGTGTAAAATGTCCAAGGATATTTATTTATTATTATTATTTATTTATTATTATTTAAAACAAGTTACATAGCATTTCCAAATATTAATGATAACTATTGACGGTGTCACAAAAACCAGTTTTGGAAATCAATTCCACAAAAATATCTATTCTTTTTTTTAAAAAGCAACGCCTTGAACGACATAGCAACCATCTGGCTACACAGCTCCTGAATACCAACCACTGCCTGTTTCGGTTGAAAAATATGCGATTGGCTTCCATATAAAACATCTCAGGAAAAAAAGAGCAGGGATGACACATCACAGGACGTGCACTCCCCAAAAGTCGAATAATCAATCAACATCAAATCTGATTAAAGCCGCTGGGCTGATTGTAGCTATTAAAAAAAATCTTTTTTTTAAAGTGCCAGTGACTGATTGGCAAATGGCAACTTGACATTTACTAGTGGGGTTTATTGGCGGCAGAAATGAGGAGATCCGCAGGAGAGTCAAAGTAACCGACATAGCTCGCAGAATTGCTAAAATCAAGTGGCAGTGGGCGGGGCATATTATAGCTCGTAGAGACGATGGCCGTTGGGACAGGAAAGTTCTCGAGTGGCGACCACGGGCTGAAAGACGTAGCGTGGGCAGGCCTTCTACTAGGTGGACCAACGATCTGGTAAAGGTCGCGGGAAGAGTCTGGATGCGGGCAGCGCAGGACCGTTATTTGTGGAAAACCTTGGGGGAGGCCTTTGTCCAGAAGTGGACGTCATTTGTCTGAAACGAATGAACGAACGAACGGCTGATTGGCAAGGAGCAAATTGACATTCATTAGTGGGGTTTATTAGTGGTTAAACTGTAGATTCTGACCACATATAGGTGTTGCACCGGTGGGAACAAGAGATGGGAAAAGTCTTGTGTCTGTTAGTTTAAGGCGATTAGTGTCCTCAATCCGCGCTAAATGGGCATTTTGTAAAGCCTACTCCTCTTTTACTGCTGGACAGAAATAGTTGAAAAAAATATATGTTATACAACAGTTCAAGGACTACATTTGTGACGTTTGAATTTTCGCTACGTCTCTTTGTTTTGGATTAAAAAAATAAATACGGGACATCGATTTTTTACTTAAATTCCCTACTCCTCCAATACGGCCATGTTAATTTAAAAGATTTTTGCACGGATAGATTGGGAATTCTTTAATCTTTAAATGACACGTTGCGTTTTTCAATCGAACATTACTTTCATTCATAAATTTTACTTTTGATAAATTCCGAACGTTTTGCTGTTGAGGGGGCCTTCGCGGGGTGCGGGCGGCAGTCGGCCGCTGGCCTTCAGACGGGGAGGTTGTGTCACTCGCTACAAACTGACATTAGCGATCAAAATGAATTTTTTCTTTGGCTAAGTTGCACCACCTGACGTGACCTAACTTTGACCGTAGCTTTGGCGATAACCGGTGTTTTTTGTATGGAGTTAGACAGACTTTTGACGCTTGTCAAAGTTGAAGTAAGATGGTGCAACCCAGCTTTTGTTCGACAATAGATTTTATGTCAGAATTGTTCATAGAGTACGTGCAGTCAGACAATACAATTGAATTATGACGCGCTCAGACGCTATTTTCTACCTGAATAGAATCTATTAGTGTAAAAAAACTATAATTGACTCCAAAACAACTGCACTAGATAAATACAAGTAGAAAAATTATTACGTTATTTATTTACTAGGCCTTTGCAATCAGTATCCAAATTAGGAGCTAGTCAGAATCTGTAACTTAATCGATTTACGTGAAGAAAACAATTTATATTTTTCATACTTATTAGAATTAGATTTTAAATATGTTTCTTCGCGAAAATACCACAATTAAAAATAACACCTGTAACGCCCCTGGGTCTGCGGGTGTCTATGGGTGACGGTAATCATTTACCAACAGGTGATCCGTTTGCTCGTTTGCCTCCTGTCACATTAAAAAAAATTAAGATAAAGTGGTATTGAATTGTTCTATAGAGCTTATTAAAAATTTGGATACTGATTACAAAATTAGCCATTTTCGGAGTCGGTGTCGGTGTCCTACCTTTTGGTGATTCGTTTTGGAGTTGGTTTTAATTTTTAGTGAAATTAATCTATTTCATGCCTTTAGTAGACTATAGGTACCCAGTAGACCTTGTTGTTGCCACTGAAGGTGCATAGGTACTCAGTACATTGATACCATATTTTTCATGTTAAGTGCAAATAAACTTCCCTAAATTACCAAACCATGAAACGTACCTATATTATTAAAAAGTTTCGCAGATAAAAACTAAAATCCTCTTATAAGGTGATGAATTTTAGGAGCATGTCATGAAACCAAAATTATTAGCATAAAAGAGCTTGTTTTAAAAAAAATCTTTTTATTTATGATGGGGAATTTACTGCGGCGTAGTAGCAGAGATTTTCCGTTTGTAGATCGTAATAATTTCGAAGAATAGGGATGTTTCGTGGATAAAGCAAGAAAGTAGCAAGAGTTTGAATAAGACCGTCGGTGAACTTACCAAAAAAAAACTCTAAATGTATTTTTCACTTTTTTAAACTTATGAAAATTTAAAGAGATGAAGCGCACCAAAGTTCAGAAGATGAGGCACATGACGTCAAGGCATGCTTAAAAATGTGGCGATTTGTGTCGTCACGCGGAATTTCATCGCATCATTATCTTCGTAATTACTTGTTTAATTGAAAAATAAAAATATCCTGTGTCCAATATTTTTTGATAATGTAAAATTGACGGACCAAAAGTCTTTTTTAAAGAAACTAGCCTATTCCTATGGCCACATTCCAGCTCCATCATCAGACCCTGCAGTTTCCCTTAGAGAATTGAAGACTCATGATTTTCAAAGTAGCGTACCTACTTACATAACATTAGGTACTTGCTTATACAGGGTGTCCCAAAAACAATGGATAACCCTTCAACCATCGATAGGCCTCGCCATGGTCTCCCTAACGTCCAATTTTGACCCCAGTAAAAATATCACCGTTTTCAAGATTTTTAAGTTTTTGTGCATTTTTAGAAAATTGTAATGAAATTATTTAGGTATAATAATAAATAAATACAAATCAAACGAGCCTAAACTCGATGGAATCGTTTATTCCCGGAGTTGCTATGGGGCCACTGGCATTCCAGCTCTACCATCAGATCAGCTCCATGTCATCACAATATTGCATTGTCACCCGAATTACATGTATATCCGAAATTTGAACTCAATCAATTGATGAAGGATTTCTAATAAAAAGACAAATACATTTTCAGTTTATTCTTCATAAGTGATAGACAAAAGCAGAAACATTTGCTTTTTTAGGCCATAGACAATACTAGGTAGGTACTAATGCGTTCCAATAGGGATGATGACTGGGTAATGAAATCGAAATTCTATTTAGTCCGTCAGACAGATAATTAGAAAATATTAGACTCATATTTTTTAATTTTTTCCATAATCGAATAATTACAGTATTATATTGAGTTGAAATGTCGCGTGACGTCACATTTGAGTAAAAATTCTACTCAAGCGTGGCGTATCGCGCCATTTCAACTCGATGTAGCACTGTTATTATTTAATTATGAAAGAAAATAAAAAATATGAGTCTAATATTTTCTAATTATCTGTCTGGCGGACAAATAATTGAAATTTTGTCATCTAGCCTAGTTGTCGTCAGGAAGTTGGTCTAACTAATTCAGCTTGCAACTAATTCAGCTTGCAAGATTCCACCCGAACAAACATTTATGTAATTACCTACATACATCATAAATTGCAAGCTAAATAAAAGCTTGTAATAAAGTCGGGTTTGTTCAATTTTCGAGAACGACTGAACCGACAAAAGCATTAGAAAATTTACGAAAAATAAAATAAAATTTTATCCCGTACAAAATGTTCATGGATTTTGTTATTTTTATTAAATACCTTTACCTACGCCTGAGTTAAATGACACCGACATCAAGGTTCATCAATTTAAGTTTAAAATAATAGGCAGTAATGTATGAAGAAAGAGCTTCTATTCTGTATCTACCTATGCTCGTGTATTTTTGATCGGTGTCAAATCGGAGTTTTTGGTGCGGGGTACGCGGGTGTTGCTCGCGGCGTGAAGGTCAAACGCCCAAGGTCATTGAGGACTCTAATCGCCTTAAGTAATTGAGACAGACACCTGAAAATTACTTGGTTCAAATCCCACTAAATATATTTTTGAAGAACAAGTCAATGGTTTTACTGTAAATAAACTTACGTCATCACTGTCTTCCGATTCACTTCCTGAAGATCCTGATGTATCGTCTGACGATGATGAGTCCACCGTGGTGACCTGCAAGAGAAAGAAATCAGTTACTACAAACATTAAATACTTAAACAGCTGTGGCATGATTCTTCCCCCTTTTTTTTTAAAGAAAACAAGTCATAAACTCTTATAGCTCTTACTTTACACTTTTTAAGGGGGGCGCCAAATGGTAAAAAAGGGGCGCTTTGGCATAAAGCACACGTTATTTCTATGATGATTAATTAGATTTGAAACGCCCAGTTGGTTTTTTAGACACATTTTACGAAACCACACACACACATCAAAGTCATTAGCGCGTAGACCTTTTTGTCTCAAACGGTGAGAAGGAACGCAACAATAAAATGTTTGCTCCGGTTAGAAAAAGTCGTAGACCCGCAGCTGAAACATACCAACCTCGTTGAATATGAGTCTTCTCGCCTTCAACTTAGCAGCGACTAGATTAGACGCAGCTACCTATGTTACATTATATTTTCGGCTCTATGACTTGCTGACGCTTAAAGACACTTGTTTAGGGGCGGGGCTATAAGTGGACCCACCCATTTCGTTGAATATCAGACCTCTCGCCTGCGGCATCAAAGCAGCTGTGCCGCTTGAGTTTACGAGTCGATATCTTGCTGTTCTTCAAAGAACGCTAGTCAAGGGGAAAGGGGCAGGTAATATTATGTGCACTTACCTCGTTAGATATAAGCCCCCTTGCTTGTAGTTTAGCAGCGGCCTTCTGCGCTGCTATATGCACATTGCACAGCCTGGGTTGCCAGTTTCTCCCGCTCGGCGTTGGCGTCGCTAAGAACACTAATGTTTTGCTACTTTTTTCGAGTCTACCTAAAACTTGCTGATGCTTAAAGACTGCTAGACTATAAGACTACCCACCTCGTTGGATATGAGTCCCCTCGCTTGTAGTTTAGCAGCGGCCAGTTTAGCAGCGGGGATCCCTTGTTTGGGGGCGGGGCTATAAGTGTACCCACCCATTTCGTTAGATGTCAGCCGGCGCTAAGTTTTCGAGTCGATATCTAGCTGTCGTTCAAAGAGCGCTAGTTTGGGGAGAGGCTAGAAGTCTACCCACCTCGTTGGATATAAGTCCCCTGGCTTGTAGTTTAGCAGCGGCCAGTTTAGCCGCGGCGGCCTTCTCGGCCAGGGTGGCCAGTTTCTTTCGCTCTTGCATAAGCAGCGGCGACCTTGTACACACTTGAGCAACTTATTTTGGAGTCTACCTAAAACTTGCTGATTCCTAAAGAACGCTAGGGTGCAGTAAGATCGGTGCTAGCAGTCTTCTGCGCCGCTTAAGGCTTCAAGTCGATACTACCTGGTGCCGATCAAAGAACGCTAGTGTGGAATCAGTGCTAGGGTAAGGCTCTGGCCTTCTAAGATTACCCACCTCGTTGGATATGAGTCCCCTCGCTTGTAGTTTAGCAGCGGCCAGTTTAGCCGCGGCGGCCTTCTGAGCCGCTATCTGAGCCGCTTGGGTGGCCAGCTTCTCCCTTTCAGCGTTGGCGTCGTAGTAGTTGAACAGCACCTCCATGGAGACGGGAACGTCGCCGAAGTACACCTCGTTGGGTATGTGCGACGAGTCGAGACAGTCGTCGCTCCATCGCCTGGGGAAGGAATAGTTGGTTAGTGTACTAAGGGCTGATTTTACCATCGTCGGTTAACTCAAGAATAAACTTGTCATTTTGATATATTTCTCATACTGAAACTGTCAATGTGCCAAACTTATTCTTCAGTTTAAAGTTATCCGACGATGGTAAAATCAGTCCTAAGGCTGTGTTGCACCACCTAACTTTGACCGTATCTTTATCGATAACCAATGTTTTTTGTATGGAGTTTGACAGATTTATGACGTTTGTCAAAGTTAAAGTAAGATGGTGCAAGCTACTCAGCCTTAGTGTGATACATTTCGTGGCATACGTTGCGGACGATGGCATCGGTCTAATACTATATAGGTCTGAATTAATATTAATTACTGAGAATTATATTAATATTATCCGATATAGGAAAGGTCACATAAACCCAGCCTTTGACAAAGACAGGGTTTCTTATTTACGAGAACTTAGGTATTCGAAAATTTACTAAAATTCGTGATTTACTTTGTTCTTATAATTGCAGATTTGAATCAACCTGATATTTTCCGAAATAATCATGGTAGCGTGCTTCGGAGAGCACGTTATATCGGTCCGATTGAGCCATTTTAGACGCCTCACTGCTCATACATCTGACAAGCGCCGTGACATCTTTATTCAATACATCCTAGACAATAAAACAAAAGAGGTTACCTTCTAAACTGTATCCCGGAGAAGTCTTTCCTGAACGGCCTGATAGCGTACTGGTATCCGGTCGCTCTTGGCCGGACGGCGGGCGGCGCCGGCCGAGGCGCGGCTCCCCGAAGAGAAGCGGCGCCGGGCACGGACGGAGCCAGCTTTGGCGCGGCGCCGGCCGGCTTCGGCTTGTTGGTGGACCCCTTCGGCCGGCCGCGCTTCTTTGGCTGCGGGCGTGACAATATCAGCCGCTACTAACTAAGCGTTGATGGTGGGCGAGTGACGGGTTACTGGTTGATGATGAGATGCTTATAAGACTTAGCCTTGCACCACTTTAATCGTAACTGTAACTATAACCGGTGCTTTTGTATGGAGTTTTGAGAGACTTTTGACGTTTGTTGTAGTTTTATAGTCTGATCTGCGAGCACGTAGAATTTTGTCCAATGTGCTCGCACACTCACTGCGGGCGCCCGTCGCACAGTCGCGATAGCAAAATAATTACGCGCGAGCGAAGGATAGCTTGGGGTCATTGGACAATATTCTACGTGCTCACAGACCGGGCTTTAGTAAGATAGTGCAACCCAGGCCTAATGTAGTTTGTCGAGACTTTCTTTTATGTAGAAAATGAAAATGACTATGGAATGAACTATTAAATGAGTAGCCCTTAAGCGCCGCGGCGCCGGGCACGGACGGAGCCAGCTTGGGCGCGGCGCCGGCCGGCTTCGGCTTGTTGGTCGACCCCTTCGGCCGGCCGCGCTTCTTTGGCTGCGGGCGTGAAAATATCAGCCGCTACTAACTAAGCGTTGATGGTGGGCGCGTGAAGGGTTACTGGTTGATGAGTGAGATGCATAACAGATAAGACAGCCTCAGTTGCAAGACTTTAACCGTAACTATAACCTGTGCTTTTGTATGGAGTTTTGAGAGACTTTTGACGTTTGTTGTAGTGTAGTTTTATAGTCTGATCTGCGAGCACGTAGAATTTTGTCCAATGACCCCAAGCTACCCATCCTTATCGCTCGCGCATAATTATGTTGCTGTCGCGCTCGCACACTCACTGCGGGCGCCCGTCGCACAGTCGCGATAGCAAAATAATTACGCGCGAGCGATAAGGATGGGTAGCTTGGGGTCATTGGACAAAATTCTACGTGCTCACGGACCGGGCTTTAGTAAGATAGTGCAACCCAGGCCTAATGTAGTTTGTCGAGACTTTCTTTTATGTAGAAAATTAAAATGACTATGGAATGAACTATTAAATGAGTAGCCCTTAAGCGCCGCGGCGCCGAGCACGGACGGAGACAGCTTGGGCGCGCCGGCCGGCTTCGGCTTGTTGGTCGACCCCTTCGGCCGGCCGCGCTTCTTTGGCTGCGGGCGTGACAATATCAGCCGCTACTAACTAAGCGTTGATGGTGGGCGGGTGACGGGTTACTGGTTGATGATGAGATGCGTAAAAGATAAGACTTAGCCTAAATTGCACGACTAACCGTAACTATAACCGGTGCTTTTGTATGGAGTTTGACAGACTTTTGACGTTTGTTATAGCTTAAGTAAGATGGTGCAACATAAAAGATAAGTTGCACCACTTTAATAACCGTAACTATAACCGGTGCTTTTGACCGACTTTTGACATTTGAAGGGGTGAGTGGACAAAGGTCTTAACTAACAAAATGAGTTATGAGTGTTTGAAAATGTAAATCTGCTCATACCACATTTGAATCCTGAAATGTATGAAGGCTTGTCAGATAACACCTTTGTTAAGGTTTGACACGTAACAAAATTGCGTGTTTTGAGCTTATTAGTCGATTTTATCATCACTTAAAACCTATGTTCATGCAAAAAAGTCGATTCTTCAGTTTTGTCAGATAACACCTTTGTCCACTCTCCCCTTCATTTGTTATAGCTTAAGTAAGATGGCGCAACCCTCAGCAGACTATCTGCTGAGAGTTTTTAGATGTAGATTGATATAAATTGTAAAGCCAATGAATCAATGAAATTAGTATGCAAGCAAGTATTAGTAAAATATGACATTGAAGTATTTAACATCGACACATTGTGTCAAACTGCCGAAAAAAATAAAAACTGTGTAAAAAATTACAACTGCGGCGTAGTGGCCGTTATTAAAGGAAAATAAACCATATATGAATTTTTATAGAGCTTAAAATATGACAATTAGTGTCTACTTTTATGATTTAGTCAGGTGTCTTGATTTGTTACGCTTAAATTTTGTGATATTTTAAATTTTACTTTATTGGCATAGACAACTGGTACCCATAACCATTTTTTGACGTACTTAAATTAATACCATAACAATATGATAAATTGAAAGAATATCTATATTTTTAATTCGTTCTTAAAGCAATGATGGTGAAGTTTTTTGTCACCCTTCATTGCAACTTATGGTGGATAATTAAGTCTCAAGTTATGAAGAAAAATTAAACTGACTAATAAAATTAATCACTATATGAAAAAAATAGGAGTTTTTTTCTGCAGGGTGCCCATGTTAACATGTGCATATAAATGGTATAGAATAGAATAGAATAGAAAGTATTTATTTGTCTCAAAACAGGTTTCATTTACAGTTTTTCACAGATACAAAAAATCATAAGAGACAAAAAGGTCTATGACTCAGTGATTGCAGGAGACCCACAAACCCTATGGTGAAGTCAGAAAATTCTATTTTTATAAATTTTATTTTGTATGAAAATTTTAAAAAATAAAATTATGATATCAAATTTCTGACTTCACCATACCATTTATATGCATAATATGTTAAAATGGGCTAGTGTTGGCTCATATACCCATTTACCTAACACCCTGTATACATAGTAACAACAACTTCTTTAGAGCGTAAAGTGGATGACAGATGAATAAAAATCTTATAAACCAAGACATATTTCATCACAAGAGCAGTTAGCAACGATTTTTTATTAGTTTCGACTTCAAGCAATAGAGTTAAGGTTCATAATATGTTAGCAACCACACCGCTACCGCCGTATAAAGGTTTACTGGATTCAACTGACCTCCATACTCGACGTCGGCGTCTTCCCAGGAGTAGACGCCATCTTGGCACCTTCCGGACTGCTGAACGGTTTCCGATCTTCCTCCCTGCACATAAGAACCAAGTTAGAACAGCACTGCTTGAAGATAGGGTCGAAAATCGTGAACGGTGAATGGAATAGAATAGAAAACTTTTATTTGCAAGAAAGGTGTACAAGCAGGCTAGACATAGATACAAACAGAGAGAAATATACAAGTGGACAATTAACTGCTTGTACCCCTCTGACAAAAAGGCACCCGCTCAGCGTACATCAAGACCGCCAGGGCTTGTCTTGAAACTGATTTTCAGCGGGAGCTTTGGTGGTATATTCTATTCTAACACTCTAAGAGCTAGTGGACGCCAGACCTACGTTACTTTATAAATGCTAAAAGTTGGTCAGCATATGCTCTCAATATAGGTAAGAATAAAACCACTGTGTAAAAGCTGTGCACGTGACATTGGCGGAACAGTGTGCCCTCAGAGACGAAAAAACGCAAGTTCATCGCCATCAACCAAAAAGAAGAAGTTGGTGCATCATGAATTTTGGGTCGTCGTGGCTTTGGAAACCGTCAAAACTATCTGGCTGATGAGGAAGCAACTTCTCAGAAGTCAGTAACTTAAGAATTTATTAAGATCAACTTAGCTTACTTAAAAAAATGTATTTAGTGGAGCTTACACCTGAGCAAACACATCCTAAGCCCACAAGATGTAAAACATAACGCCCCTCAAAAAATACTGCACTACCTAATGGATGCAGGACTCGGAGGCGAACTGTATGGAAAATAGCGGCGATCACAACAGATCGGTATCGGTCGCAGTGATACCGAGATTTCATAGAACCAGAATAGAAGCTGCTCAACGAAAAAAAAAAACTATCTTAACAATAAAGTATTGAAAACTTACTATGGGCCTCATAAGAAGGCTCAAGGTCACCCAAAGAGCGATGGAGCGTGCTATGCTCGGAGTTTCCCTGCGTGATCGAATCAGAAATGAGGAGATCCGTAGGAGAACCAGAGTGACTGACATAGCCCGCAGAATCGCTAAAATCAAGTGGCAGTGGGCGGAGCACATAGCTCGAAGAGCTGATGGCCGCTGGGGCAGGAAAGTTCTTGAGTGGCGACCACGAGCCGGAAGACGTAGCGTGGGCAGGCCTCCCACTAGGTGGACCGACGATCTGGTGAAGGTGAAGGTGCCTGGATGCGAGCGGCGCAGGACCGGTCCTTGTGGAAATCCTTGGGGGAGGCCTTTGTCCAGCAGTGGACGTCTTTCGGCTGAAACGAACGAAAACTTACGACTTGTCAGCGGAGGCTGCGCTCGCGTCGGACGGACGTTGGACGTCACCACCGCCATCTTTAGTTCCTTCCGCCTTACACGACTCTGTTGGGGCACAAAAAATTCAATATAATCCTCTATTCTGTATATCATAGGATACAAATGTTGAACAAATTTATCGGTTTTCGACTTTATGTAATGAAAATGTTTCAAATTGTAAAAGCCTCAATCTATGCTTTATTAAAATTATTTATTCAGTTACTTAGGCGCTTTAATTTCAAAAATTATTAAAGTTTTGTGCTTTTTTTTTGTTGTAATACTAAAGAGGCAGAATGTCTTTCAATATCATAAGGAACATGCGATTCTATTTAATTGTGACTGTAACAAGCCAGAATTTTTAGATGCACTTATTTTCACATTTGTTTTGATAGAAATTACTAAAACCATTTGAGCTAATAATAATATTTGACATGAAATATTAAATAATAGTGTACATTTATGCATACCTGCTTTATCTGTGGGTTTGTCTCCTACAGCAAGACCATCTTCTGGAACAAAAACCAGCATTAAGATTTTCTAATTTACTTATACTTTACATTTAGAGTAGGCGCACACCGTTGATTTTAGGTTGGCCGATAGTTGTGCCCGATTTTAAATTGTATGAAGAATCGGCCAAATCGAATCGGCGTAGTGTGCGCACTCCCATACATGCCCATACTGATCAACTGCCCGACTAAACTATCGGCCGACGAAAAATCAACGGTGTGCGCCTACTCTTACACTGCATAGTTAGTTTCGGCCACAACTTTACTTGGTATAGATAGCGCCATCTACGAAGACGCGCCCCACCATTCTTCCGCTAATGTCTGAGTGTTATCGGTACACGCTAAATTATCCATGAGTGCACACGCACACTACAATAATGCCGCTCGGATTGCTCGGAGCAAACTCCCCGCACCCCGCGCGACCGAGACCAAATATTGGTGGGGCGCGTCTTTGTGGATGGCGCGATCTATAATAATATCTAATGAAAAACTTTTAAATATGGTATATTTTAAGACGTAGCGTGGGCAGGCCTCCCACTAGGTGGACCGACGATCTGGTGAAGGTCGCGGGATGTGCCTGGATGCGAGCGGCGCAAAATCGGTCTTCGTGGAAATCCTTGGGGGAGGCCTTTGTCCAGCAGTGGACGTCTTTCGGCTGAAACGAACGATGGTATATTTTATAATAATTTACCTTTACTCTGTAAATCTGCTGGTTTGTGTGGGTCCATTGGCTTGTGGGCAACATCTGTAAATCAATAATAATTGCCTTAGAAATTCACTTACAAAGAACAGAATTTAAGAACAACAACTTGACAGGTTTTGATTGATTTTGATTTGATTTTCATACCAATACAGATTATGTCCATAAACATTAACTTTTAGTGCAGGAATCGAACTTATTAAAAAGGCCAGGCATATTGTCAAAATTCAAATTTCATCATCATCATCTCAGCCATAGGACGTCCACTGCTGAACATAGGCCTCCCCCAATGCTTTCCACGTTGATCAAATTTAAATTTAGCATTACTTATTGCTAATTATTTAAAGGAGTTCGCTTACCTAGAGGTTTATCGATTAGCGGTCTGTGTGCTAGATCATCTGGCTTAAATATGTCTGTCTTGATCTTTATTTTTGGTTGATCCAGATCTCCTCCCTAAAACAAATTAATTATAGAATTAGTACATAGACAATAATACAGTATAGTAGAATATGAAAAAAGAGCTAATTTAATTTTAAACACTTATTTGCACTCAGCAGCTATACTAAAATACTAAGATTACATATTTTAGTTGTGTTAGTTTACAGAAAAAATTCCAAGTATTTATTATATTGAAAAATAGACATAGAATTTATTTTTAATTAATATCATGCAACAAAATCATGTTAAAATACAGAAAAGTCACTCACAAATGTTCTATTTACCATCATCTCATTTTCTGGATGGGGTCGTTTCTGTGCGTCGGTCGGCTCGAGTTTGATCTCCGGTTTGAGCTGTTTCACGTCCAACGGCTTCTGAGCATCGAGCGGAGGCAACAGGTGAGGCTGCGGGGGCCACGCTGGCTTGTGCACCCCCACGTCTCCGTAGCCTTGCACTAAAAGATTAACTGACAGATGGAACAAAACTTGTATCATTAAGTATATTCGTCAAATGTTATGGTAAAAATACATTTTTAGGGCACACCCGTATTCACAAACATTACTATGAGGTCTCACGGTGCGCGTGGACGCACAGAGTGACACACGAACCAATCAAAAAGTTCTATTCAACACTGTGCGTTCGATTTGCTGCTTTACTTAAGCATTGTTTGTGAATACAGGAGTTAAAATTAAAAAATTACAGATTTATGGCCAGTTTTAAAGATATACACATGTATGAATGGCTTAAACTGAATATGATCAGAAATGAAAGCAATGAGTTGAAAATATTTATGATTTTGTGTATAATAAGAATATTATTATGTTAGAAGTATACAGATTAATGGCACTTTAAACTATTCAGCTGGAGGCAACTGCTGGAGGAACAGTGCCAGTTAAAGTTTAGGTCATTTCATTGGTCAGATAATATAAACAACAACAAACACTCACCCATATGGGATTGCATATGCAACTGAGCCTGTGGAGGCTGTTGTGGCGGAAAACTCTGATGATGAGGGTAATTTTGGTGCGCGGGGGGGGCATACGACAGGTTTTGCGGCGCGTAGCCCCCCGGGGGCGGCGGCCCGTACGGGGAAAACGCATCCGGGGGCGGGTAATGCGTGTTGTAAGCTCCCGCGTAAGGCTGGTACGGTATCTGGTGCCCATTATCTACAACAAACAACAACCTCAGTATTTTCCCGCCGCCAAAACCCAACCACACTCAACGCACGACACGTACCTATATAATTTAGCGGCAAACCGTTCCCCTGGACGACTCCGTGGCCCGGCTCGCCCTCCATACGCAATCGCTTCTGGTTCATCGCTCTTTCCGCCTCATAATTCATCTTGGTAACTAAAAACAAACGTCTCTTAATAACGCACGACTCACAAACCCACTAGAACACATTTCTACGCCTACAATATGACACGAAATACGACACAATTGTGAATATATCGCAAACTATGACGGACGCCAACCGGACGCCAGCACAAACACAGGTTATACGCTTAGCAAAAGCAAACACAAGCGTACCTTTGTTGGTCACTGATTGTTATTGATTTTAGTTTATAGAAGCACTTAGAGCACTCCCCGCGATGATTTGAATCATAATAGAGCACAATATGTGGTCAAAATAACTGTTGCATACAAAATATGCATCAAATTATCGGTCTAATGACAGTAAAATTAGAAAAAAACACAAGTGAAGCGAAGTTGAGACGGGATTCATTTATTTTTTTTCTCATTCTTTCATGTAGTGATGTTGGTAAGTTTTAGTAAAGTAAGTGAGATGTATCGATCTTCCTATCAAATGCAAAATAATAGTTGTCGATTGATATCACAAACATAAATTGAACTGAAAAAATAAAGGAAATAAAGAAAAGAAAATATTTTTTAAAAATTAAAATCAAACTTCTGATAATAGAACATTTGTATATGTATGCACAGAATAAGAGTAATAATTATTATTATTATGTTGATTAGTAAATAAATGTAAATAAATTACAAGATGCCATCTACTTAATTTGATTTTATACGACTACTCTTGATTAATTAATGAATAACTATTATCAGAAAGCACAATATTTAAATAGTATATGCGCACAATTGCACACAAAACATTTCTTATAAAAAAGTAGTGTTTAATACTAAACCTAATATGATTAAGTATTAATGAAGTAAAATATCATTCATAATCATATGTTACGAAAGGATATTTCATTGAATTAATTTATAATTTTTCATAAATAAATGCCTGTGTTTGAATCTGCTTGAATCAATCTGAATAAAATAATATCGATTAAAATTTCCTGATTTCAATGTTCACGTCACTACTTTTTTTTTTCTTATTTTGTAGCGTTGCCATATTTAGATATATTTTAATAATTAGTAGTTTTCTAAGTTTTAATGGAAAAGATAAAATCATATTAGCTTTCAAAAAATCACGTTACCTATTTAACTTGTAAGAACGAGGGTTTCATTTATACATCTTAATTAACGAATACTTAATTTTATAATCACTTTTTCATAAAAAAAAACTTAATTAACAAATAAAATAAAATTAATAAAACTATTTTTTTAATTATGTATTGCAATTTGCGTTGCAGCAATTCAATAACAATTATAAACTTTCACATTAAAAAATGCATTTTTTTTTAATATAAACACAGACACCAAATCACATAAGAATTAAGTATAAAGTGTAAATTTAATACTGGTAACATTAAAAAAAGTTAGAAAAATGACAGCTACTTTTTTTTTTAACTTGTTCGTTGTTCGTCGTCGTTGTGTTTTGTGTTAATTTGTATTTTCGCAAAATTGAAACTTTATTTCATAGACGTCCATAGCCTAAAAGTTAACTAATTAATATATTATGTAATACGTGATTTTATATATTTTATTTTGTCTTTAGTTATTTTGATTTTCTTGAAAGAAAATACCTATTTCACCATCCTCATTGCACGTTACTTTCCGGTCGATTTACGGTAAGATAGACCAATATTTTTATTCCTACTCATTAATTAACTTTAAATATGCTAGAAATACTTAATAAACGGGAAAATGATTAAAATATAATGGAACAAAATTATAACTAAATCCTAAGGTGAAGATTTAGGGTCAAAATGGGTCCAAATTGAAACCTAACAATTTTCAAGTGTGCTATCACTGGTACTGATGGAAAAGCGCGAAATGCTTAATCTTTAATTGAATAGTAACATAAAACATCAGCACAGTAAGCAGATTTGTAAGTAGAAGAGGAATGACTGGGCTTCAAATGTGAAGAACTTACTACTGATGAAAATAAAGGTTTTTCAATGGAGATTACGCTCTGGAAAGGGCAGTGTGAGACAATGGGCTAACTGATTACTGGACAAGTCAATTTCAAGACAATCATCACTGATTTTCGTGAACTTCTCTACTGAAGGACAGCAGAGTTAGTTAATCATTTAAGCTTGGACAGTAGCATTACAGCAACCTGAAATTTCTTAAGTATGTTCATAAACATTTTAGGTGGGCAAAGAGGTCCAACTTAAATGTAGAAAATAAAGAATTTTCTCTGCCACAGAAAAATTTTATTGCGCGCGTCCCTGTTTAAAAAACCGGGATAAAAACTATCCTGTATCCCTTCCCGGGACTCAAACTATCTCTATGCCAAATTTCATCAAAATCGGTTCAGTGGTTTAGGCGTGAAAGCAAGACAGACAGACAGAGTTACTTTCTCATTTATAAATTAGTATAGCCTGAAGTCTTTATGATTATATGAGTTTACTTAATGATTTTGATTGATACATTTAATTTGCATTCAAAATACTGTTATTATGTTAAATGTAGAAAGAAACAGAAACAGTAGACTACAAGATTCAGGATTGATGATAAGAATGCTTAGTCATTTGCACCTCATGAGTGAGACTTATCAAGTCAAGAGCAAGCCAAGTACATAAAAAGTTCAGTCTCCAATAACTACAGTTTTTACAAATGTTTATTTATTCCATTTTTTTTGTTTGACAATGTTTCAACAGCATTTAATTGGGTATTTGCCACCACTCCCCAATAATTCTAAAGCACAGCTTTTTTAAAAAGACACTTCATTCTGGTCTTAAAAATGTGATTAATTTTGAATTACCTGTAAATTAAGATTTTTGGTTGCATTGTAATTGAAAAAAGTACAGTCGCGGAATGAAAAGGTTCGTCACCTTAGTGTCGGTTTTCGCTTGCAGTAGGTACTATAAGAGTCAAACCTGCCAACATAACCGTGCAAGAAACAGTGCTGCTAACATTTAAATAAATATGACGTCTGCTAACGAATAAGGTTTTGCTTGTTTATTTTTCTATCCCATCAGTGCAATGTTACAAAATGTAGTTTTTTTATTTAACAGATAATGGCAGGTTGAACCAACAAGAAGGTTTTAGTTTATCAATCATAATAATCTTCATAAGTTAAATTGTCAAACAACTTTGATCTGAATAATTTTGAACTTTACTGACGAACAGTTAAAGATTATTTTCTCTAACTCGAGATTATTCTGTAACATAGTTTCCAAAGGTAATATGTGCTCACGATTCGTTGAAGGAATCAATTTGAAAACTGACGAACCTTTTCATTCCGTGACTGTACTATCCGTTCGCTTTAAGTTTGCCGCTGGCGATATGACGTCACTCGAAGGGAAGCGTCTATAACTTTATCAAACTATGTTTAAAATATTTTTTATTTGTTATTATTGATAAAAATTTTGTATAAGCTTAAAATAAGTCACATTAATTGTGTTTATTCACTAACTAATTTGCGTTTAATCGCGGTTGGAGTAGGGGACGAGCATTCCACGGACCGGCAATCTTAGCGCGAATGGGTAGTATAGTTTAATTGAGTTGACAAAATAGTGACGTCACAGGGTTGAATTGCCACACAAAATTTAGTACAAAATCTATAGAAATACCCTATCGTACATACATGTGCAGGAAGATACTATGTTTGTTCATTTATTTAATATACTAAGAAACTAGTAGTAGTGAGCAATATTATTGATTTATGAATGAATTAAATTAAAAAACAAGAAAATATGTAAAGATGTCCTTGACTGTAACTGAATCTTTATTTCAATTTGTTATTTCAGATACAATCACAAATCATGTCTTACCAAGAAATCGGTGAACTGCCGCACCAAGTGATGGTTGACGACAGTCCAGACTTCAACAACTTGGAGTGAGTTACATAATAATGTTTTTATGTATTTAACAGGCTTAAAAAAAAGGAGGAGGTTCTCAATTCGACTGCATGTTTTTTTATACAGGTAATGAAATTCAATGCTGCAATCTGGCTATGCTACAGACCTAGTCAAAATATTGTAATCCTGGAACTTATTAAAATAATCACAGACTTTAAATTTGGCTGACTATATTTTTTTTTTGTGTTGATGATTCCTGCAATCAGTCGCCAGACTAATCAGATTAGATTTTCATGTTAAAGAGCAGCTGGCCTATGCCTAAGCTCTCTTCTGACTATATTGACTAAGTTTCTTGTGCTGCATCTTCTCAGCACTGTCCCATTTAATGTATTAAGTAATACTGGGATATATTAAAGCGTTAATTTATGTACATCAATTCAGATTATACATTCTTCTTGCGATTATGCACTTATTATGGCACAAGTGCACTATGCAAGAAATCGGCCGAGACGTAACAGTGTGAACACCATCTCTGTTACTTTCCCCTTCCCCACCCATGCGTCGTCCATACTTCGGTGCATGCGCTTCGTCTCAATCAATAGGCTAGTTTCCTAAAAAAATTTTTTTTGTCCGTCAATTTTGTTATAAAAAAATATTAAACACGTATATTTTGAATTGTCAATCAAACTAATAATAACAAAGTTATAGTGCGTTGAAGTTCCGCGCGACGTCACAAAGTGCTGCACTTTTACGCACTCACTGACGTCACGGGCCTTTTCTTTAGAACTTTGGCACGCTTTATCTCTTTACATTTTCATTAGTTTTAAAAAGTTAAAAATACGTGTCGAGTAGTTTTTGATAAGCTAACTGACGGACTAATTAAAACTCATGCTTTTTTACCCAGGAAACATCCCTATTTCGCAGTGTAATTGCGCCATCACCATAAAATAAGATAGCAGTAGATCTTGGTGACCAAATAGTAGTTTAAACTTTGTCTATAAATAAAACAGTGCGGGACGGACGTCCCATGGATGTGTGGGTGGACACCCACAAGGTGGACCGACGACCTGATAAAGGTAGCTGGATGCAGGCCGCTGTCAACCGTGCGATGTGGAGGTAATTGGCCTTGCGGGAGGCGTATGTTCAGCAGTAGACGTTCTGTGGCGGAAAATTAAATGATAATGATAAATAAAACAGTTACAGTAGAATAAAGTAAATCCTTTTTTTACAGTATCGTGGACGAGTATGTTTGTAAGCAGTACTATAACGAAGACACTATGCCTGCATCAGTATTATCCAGCCACATGAATGAAGTAAGTTTGTCCCTTTTAATAGGCTAGTTTCCTAAAAAAAAACTTTAGTCCATCAATTAGGGTAAGTGCGCTAGTTTTCGTCCAATTGCTGTTTTTGTGATGCGAAATGAATATCTTAAAATACCCTTACTCATATGTATCATATGTCATTTTAGTCCTTATATAGTCTACTTTACGTTAATATTATATGACAATAAGTAAATACCACGGGTTTTTTTTATAAAAAATATTTTATGCAAAAGAGGCGATTTCACTAGTTTTCGTCCTAGTGTACGCTAGTTTCCGACCACTGTGTAGAAAAAAGGGTGCAGTTTAATTATTAACTTTAAACCAATTCTACAATACAGTAACTATGGATTTTGGTATATCATTTGAAAGGTAATTTTGTTAGCTTTCAAATGATATCAAAAAGATTTAAATAAGTTTCTTACCTAAATTTAGGAAAATATTTCAATAGGTCGAAGGACAAATGGACGAAAACTAATCTACAGGAATAGCTAATTTTGGTTTTTGTCCACCCCAGTGCTTGCTCATGACGTCATGGACGAAAACACAACAACGTTTAAAGCTGTTTTTTGTTTTTGTCCACATGTTTTAACGGTTTTTATGGGTTTATCACTGTTAAAAAGTGGACGTAAACTAAAATGTTTAATGTAATAGCAATAAAGATCATATTGGAAGAAAAAACATTGTATTTTGTAGGTCCATTGAAGTAAAATGATTATTAAAAATATTAACTAGGTGTCAGGGTTTCCGTCCACGTGGAAGAAAACCAAAATCTTGCAAAATTGTTATGCTAGTATTAGTCCACTTAATTATCTAAGATTTCTATACAAAAACTTTAATAAACCCTTAAAATAGTGTTTATTATGCTAATAATTAGACATACGTGCCAAAAACATTACGTAAAGTAGCTAAAACAGTAATTAAACATACCATGAAAGTTCCCTACCGGCACGTTTTTTTTCTAACTAGACGACGTTTTCCATTCACCTGTATGCAGCAGCAACTTCCGTAGATTTTTTTGGAGTTATTACTTGTCAAATTACATTTTCATGCAGGCAGAACTGTTACTTAGATATTATAGATTGTAACAAGTCCAAACTTGCACGGAAAGTTAGGTTTGTATTCTAATTTTCCGTATTTGTTTGTGGCAAGTCGGTCAAATGGACGAAAACAGGAGCTGGACGGAAAACCGGCGCAATTACCCTACATTATCCAAAAATATTGGACACTTGTATTTTTATTATGATACGTTGGAGTTCCGCGTGACGTCACAAAGTGCTACACTTTTAAGTATGCCTTGACGTCACGGGTCTCTTCTTTTGAACTTTGGCGTGCTTTATCTCTTTCAAATTTCATTAGTTTGAAAAAGAGAATAATAGGTGTTGAGTATTTTTTTGATAGGTTAACCAATGGACTAATTCGAATTTCTTAGGCTGAGTTGCACCACCTAACTTTAACGGTAACTATGACGATAACCGGTGCTTTTTGTATGGATTTTGACAGATTTTTGACGTTTGTCAAAGTTAAAGTAAGATGGTGCAACCCAGCCTTAGCATTGCTGTATTTTTTAATTTAATTACATAGGGCTTAAATTTTATTGTGTACCTAATAATTTTTACATTATAGAAACTGTTGATGACATGCAAACAATTTTGTTGCAACAGGAATCTTCCAATTTGTATTCTGATGCATCGTGGCTGGGTCAGCCAGTCCTGGTCGGCCCGCCGGTGCCGGTCGGCCCGCCAGTGCCAGTCGGGCAGCCAGTCCCGGGCTGCTCTCTGCTTCCGGCCTGCCCGCCAGTCCCGGTCGGCCCGCCGAAGCAAACTCCGTTCCCGGGACCGTTGAATTTCAACGTGAAAGTTACCAGCCCCCCCAATAAGAAGTATCTGGTAAGTCATCACTCATCATTAGAGATGAAACGGATATCCGGTAACTATCCGGTAGGCCGGATATCTGGCCTAAATTTACTATCCGGCCGGATACCGGATAGTAACTCACTATCCGGCCGGATACCGGATATTAACACTAGAAAGACCAAGGCAGTCAAATTGGCGGCAAAGCAATTTCATTGTTAAATATTTCACAAACTATGTTTTTGTTTCTTTTCATATTTTATGACTTTTCCTAATTTTCTATTGTTAAGCTAAATCTGTATGAAAAAAAAAATAACAATATGTTGTATATGAGTTTCGATGAAAAATACCTACTAAGACCGCGCACCGTCAATGTGACCGCATACATTAAAGGCGGCGATAAGAATAGTAAACAACGATTTCTTCAAACTAATGTGGGTACTTTTATTTTTATTTATGTTGAATTGAATTCTGAGTAAGTTGTTACTGCCTAGCTTGTTTACATTTTACAGTAGACATTGGTTTCGTTCGGTGAGAAGTCGTTGTTATGTGGTTTTGAAACTAGTACAACCCTAAGGGCCCAAACTTAACCACTGACAACTTTTTCACGTCTCTAAATTTGGCTAAAAACCTAATGGTCGAAAAGACTAGTATTGTTGGAACAATGCGGCGTGCAAGACGAGAAATACCACCAATTTGTAGAGGTATTCGTACTATAAGATATGAAACTTTCATAATGAAAACCGAGACCGATATAACCCTTACTACCTATCAAGGAAAACCAGGAAAAATGATATTATTTTGAGTACTCTACACCCCCAACGTAAGCATAGGTACTGATCAAAAAAAGCTGCCTGAAACAGTTGAATTTTATAATGCAACAAAATTTGGTGTAGACATCATCGATCAAATGGCACGCAAATACATCATAAGAGCTGGAAGTCGGAGATGGCCTGTTCACGTTTTTTACAATATACTTGATTTAGCAGCTTTAAACTCGTGGATTCTATATCAAAAAGTCACAGGAATAAAAATTTCTGGTCATGATTTTATCCTTCAACTAGTGAGCGAACTACGAGAAGAGTAGGTATGTGCGAAAAAAATCCACTTCAACTGGGACTCAGAGACAAGAAACTAATTCTGAAACAAGTGAACCATGTTCTACAAACAATAAGAGGCGGCAATGTCAAATCAATAGTAATTGTAAAAAAAAAACATGTGAAAACTGCACTATCTGTAAAAAAGCTGTTTGTGGAAAATGTACAAAAGAGTCTAAAAAAACTATTACTTTTTACAAATGTTACTAACTTTAATGCTAAATTGTTTACTACTACGAATAAATAAATTTGAATTATTTTAATTTAATTTTTTTATTTAAAATCTGTAATAATTTCATAAGTATTCTCACTTAATCTCTAGTACCGTCAAATTGACCGCTAAGGTCTTTGAAGGTATAGCATGAAACCCGGCCCTTCTAGTGTTAAAAGACTACGACAATTTCCTATTAATAAAATGAAATACATTAATCTTTGAGGTAAATATCAATAAAATGGCTTATAATAATGACGGCTTTTATTTAAAGTCCAAAAAGTTACAAAAAAACCATTTCAAAAAACTAATTTCTTTTTCTGGGCTATTCACTCTCATGACGATTGCTAAATCTATACTTAGGTATAATAAATCTGTAGAGAGGTCAATTCTGTACATGAAATATATTTTCAAAATAACTATCAGTGCAATCAATAAAATTTTTGTGTCTGTCTGTCCGTCTGTATGTTCCTTATAGAAACAAAAACTACTCGACGGATTTTAACGAAACTTGGTACAATTATTCTTCATACTCCTGGGCAGGTTATAGTATACTTAGGAATTCCCACGAGAACGGGAATTAGCGGGAAAATCCTTTTTTCTGAAAAATCTAAACCGCTTAGTAAACTTAAAGCTTAGTTACAACAGGATATTGCAAAATTTCCACGGGAACGGGAGTTAGCGGGGAAAAACATTTGTATGAAAAAATCTAAACTGCGTAAGATAGATGAAGGGGGTAAAACGGGATCCACGCGTACGAAGTCGCGGGCGGCCGCTAGTTTAATTATAAAATAATGCACTTTAATTATGCTGGCCAGACGGGTTGGATTTGAGAGGCCTGATGTTCACTGGCTAAGAACTCACGGCGCGATTTTCGCGGTTGTGGAATTGCTTTTTTATTTCAAAACTCACGGGAGTACGATTATTCTGTGCTCGTACTGCTTAAAACTGAAATGATGATTAAGGTCTAATCGAATTCATAAAAATTGGTTCAGTAATTTAGGCGTTAATGAAAAACGTCCATTTCCCATTAATTATAATGAATTTTACTTTTATTTATTTACTCATAAATCTAAATATGCAGTCGGCATTAAAATTATGACCTTCATTCATTATTTCACTGATACTTGTGAGTCAAATAATCTTATCACTTAAATTACTATCTCAGGAAATCCACAATGACAATAATATTTAAAGATTAACTTGTCTGCAGGTCAATACACAGACAATATCGCGTGATAATAGATTATGTAGACCCTGTAGTATTTATATTGTGGTGATAATGCAATCATTATGTAGGTAAACTAGATAATTTGCACTGACCAGCCCACAAAAGCAAATCTATACTAACTAATCCATACTAATATTATAAATGCGAAAGTAACTCGCGCGCACAACAATCGGACGCGCGCGATAGTTTTTCTGAGACAGACAAAATTCCACGCGGGTGAAGCCGCGGGCGGAAAGCTAGTTGTTTGGGGGGGGGGGGGGGGGGGGGGGTTTGACGTCACAATATGTCAAAATCACCCCTGTGTTAAGCACTAAATAGTTTTCATACAATTTCTAGAAGCGCAGTTCCAGCGTCGCTACCGTAACAAATGCAATAAGTAGTACCCATAGTACAAGTTTGGCATAATTTGGGACTAGATGGCGGAGTATAAAAATGTATAAGGATATCTTTTACCAACTAGCTGACCCGGCGAACTCTGTTCCGCAATAAATAAGCCATCGCAATTTTTCCTTATTTGCTCACCGTTTAGACCTATCCTGGACTACGACAAACATTTTAAAACCAAAATCAGCTCAATCGGCCCAGCCGTTCTCGAATTTTAATCACACTAACGAACAGCAATTCATTTTTATTTATATAGATTTGTAAATACAAATTAGAAATTAGTAATAATCCCGTTAACCCGTTGAGCTAAATATGCTTGTGTTACGAGTGTGCTCACCACAATAGTCGAGCGGCGACAGGGATTTATTTATTACTAGCTTTCCGCCCGCGGCTTCGCCCGCGTGGAATTTTGTCTGTCACAGAAAAACTTTATCGCGCGCGTCCCTGTTTCAAAAACCGGGATAAAAACTATCCTATGTTCTTTCCCGGGACTCAAACTATCTCTATGCCAAATTTCATCAAAATCGGTTGCGAGGTTTAAGCGGGAAAGCGTAACAGACAGACAGACAGACAGACAGACAGACAGACAGACAGAGTTACTTTCGCATTTATAATATTAGTTGGGATAATACTAGCGACCTGCCCCTGCTTCGCACAGGTACAGTGTATCATACTTACTTAAAACCCTTCCTCTTGAATCACTCTAATAAAAAAACCGCATCAAAATCCGTTGCGTAGTTTTAAAAAGATATAAGCATACATGTAGTGGACAGACAGCGGAAAGCGACATTTTTATACTATGTAATGATTTATTATTTATTACCCACAGCATTCCGAACGCCTGAATATGATATTCGTGGACATGGGTTGCGCGTTCGCGGCGCAGTACAGCTGGCTCGACCGCGGCGAGCGAATGTTCGTGCGAACGTGCGTCGTGTTCTCCGCGACGGAGCACGCCGAGAAGCGCGTGGAATGCTGCATGCAGCACCGGCATGCTCCTAACGGTTTGTCTAAATAATTTTTTCAAGTAATTTATTATACATTCGTTCAGGCAAAGGCTTAACCCAAAGATTTTCAACGCATTCAGAAGGCTTAGTGTGAATTTACATCAAACGTCATTAGTGAGCGCGTAAAAATACATTTTTATGACAGATTGTACAGCGCCTCTAGCGGAAACTTTCAAGATCTGCAAAATAGAATTATCAAAACACTTTTTCAATATGATTATTTTACACCTACAAAAGTAATATTTATGGAAACAAAGTTAATGAATATCGCTCAAATATTTAAATTTAATACTTGCCTTTTAATTAGAAAAATTTTGGACAAAAGCATTCACATTGACATAACTTTCATAAAAAAATCACAATGTCATAAACTTAGAACTCGCCAATCAAATAATATCTGCTTGAGTAAGCCCCGAACGAACTATGGAAAAAATAATATTGTTTCAATGTGCACAATTTTTGAAAAAATTGCCCAAAAATATAAAAGATGCTAAAACCCAATTAACATTTAAAAAGTTACTTTAGAGACCACATCTTAAAGGATCAGTCACTTTTAAGTTGAATTAATTTTGTTGCGTAAATGAGTTAATGTATCCGCGGCCTTTTAGCGCCTGCATTGAACTCGATCAGCAGTTGAATGTTCGGCGTGTGAATGTTTTTATATGTACCCACTTTTGTGTTCGCGCGTTTACATAATTAATATTTTTGTTGAATTGTATTTTCTCTGTAAGTGATTTTTGTAATCTTTTGAGAAAATAAAATATCTTAACGTTTCAGCCAAATGACGTCCACTGCTGGACAAAGGCCTCCCCCAAGGTTTTCCACAATGAACGGTCCTGCGCTGCCCGCATCCAGACAGAATAATAATATAATAATAATATGGTATCTTAAACCATATCTAAAATTTTCATTTCTTTTTTAACGCGCTCTCTAGTGAGGACTTTTGATGTAAACTCACACTAAGTCCTCAGGTGCTTTCGGTTTACACTATGTTTTCCGCCAAAGTAACTATGCTGTGTGAGTTACATTATGTACTCACGTGAGAAATAAATTAATCATTATTATTCATTCACGGCTTGACGTTTCGACGTGCTATGCTGCAGCTGTGGTCGAGTGGCGACAGTACATAATGTAACTCATTCATAAATGTCGAGTTGAGATCCGTGTCTTTCTATTTTGGTTAAACTGGAACGCGAAAGGTTAAAACCTTATATGAAAGTCTCAGATGAAAACAAAAAATATTAAAAGTATTCAAAATGGCTATCATTAACCATTTGTTAAGTGTTTTTTAAATCACCACGCAAAAAAGATGCTATAAGTTAGACATGAAAAGAAATGAACCGATTCCGATGTGTGCCATCCATTAATTTTCGTATAATAAACCCAATATGTTTTTTTACTTTTTACTATTGTTTATGTGTTACAATTTTTAATTATGTTTAAAATTCTCACCGCAGTGCCCGAAGACATCCGCATGAATGTCCTGCTCTCTTCGCGGGACTTCGGCACCCAGGGAGTGTATTACCAGGGCAACCCGGCCTCCCCAGACTCCTGGTATTCCGTAGTGGTTGAATTCCCGCCCTCTGCGGGCCCTCACACGCACGCCTACAAGTTTGCCTGCAAGAACTCTTGTTCCACTGGCATTAACAGGCTGGAGATCGCTATTGTCTTTACACTGGAAGATTTAGAGTAAGTTCACTAGTAGATAAGAGAGAGGACCCAAAAATGGTCCTTGCACGACCCCAAAATTTCTCATACGCTTGCCTACAAGTTCGCCTGCAAGAACTCTTGTTCTACTGGCAATAACAGGCTGGAGATTGCTATTGTCTTCACACTGGAGGATTTAGAGTAAGTTTACTAGTAGATAAGAGGGAGGACCCAAAATTAGTCCTTGCACGACCCCAAAAATTTATCACACGCTTGCCTACAAGTTTGCCTGCAAGAACTCCTGTTCCACTGGCATTAACAGGCTGGAGATCGCTATTGTCTTCACACTGGAAGATTTAGAGTAAGTTTACTAGTAGATAAGAGAGAGGACCCAAAATTGGTCCTTGTACGACCCCAAAAATTTCTCACACGCTTGCCTACAAGTTCGCCTGCAAGAACTCCTATTCCACTGGCATTAACAGGCTGGAGATCGCTATTGTCTTCACGCTGGAGGATTTAGAGTATGTTTACTAGTAGGTAAGAGAGAGGACCCAAAATTGGTCCTTGCACGACCCCAAAAATTTCTCACACGCACGCCTACAAGTTCGCCTGCAAGAACTCCTGTTCCACTGGCATTAACAGGCTGGAGATTGCTATTGTCTTCACATTGGAGGATCTGGAGTAAGTATAATGTTGTTTATAAGTAGATGAGAGAGAGGACCCAAAATTGGTCCTTGCACGACACCGTTGAAATTCTCATACGTTTCGCGTATAAGTTGATATGGACGAACTCCTGTTCCACTGGCATTAACAGGCTGGAGATTGCTATTGTCTTCGCACTGGAAGATTTAGAGTAAGTTTACTAGTAGATAAGAGAGAGGACCCAAAATTGGTCCTTGACTTTAGTGCTAGATGATGTCCAGGGTCCTGATGATGAAGTCAATTATAATTTTCAAACGAAGTCAAGCTTGTTTTTAAAAAAGTTTTTTTTTATTACAACTTTATTTTAAACTTTTTAGTTGTTTCTCAATCTCATGGCCTAAGTGCTCGGGAAGACAAATCCAACGAACCCAAACTCGATAAGCTTCCGCCGTTTCGTTTAGGACTTCCTATGGCCAGCTCCTGCCACCTCTTGACTTCATCATCAGGACCCTGGACATCATCTAGCACTAAAGTGCTCGAAAAGACAAGTCCAACGAACCCAAACTAGATGCAATTCCGCCGTTTCGTTAAGAGTTCCTATCTCAATGTCTCTCTCTGACTCCATCCAGCTCAATGGTACCATAATATTGCATTGTCATCGTACTTACACAAGTATACCAAATTTCAGCTCAATTGATTAAGGAGAACTGGTTTTAAATTCAGTTGTAAGATTTATCCCATACTAACTAACAAGCGAAGTGCTTGTAAAAATGGTACGCATATCTTTTTTGCGACTAGGTTTCTTAGAGTACCATTTTGGAATCTTGGATAGTTGCGTCAACTTTAAAAAAACTTGCCGCAGTAGTGTTCATACTTTTTTTTACAAAACGATGAGTCAAAGTGGAGTGAAAGTAAAAATCGTTCAAAATTTTGAGGAAATAAAATATTTTGATTGACTTTTGTGTAAAAACTGCAAGGATTCTGGGGGTTTTAAGAGTTGGAGTGAACAGCAGCACTACTTAAGTTGCCGATGTAAACAGAAAACCAGGAATAATTGAAAAATTGTGGTCGTGGTAATGTAAAATATCATAAGGGGTGTCAATTTTCGTTGAATTTCATAATTTATTGTGTAAGTTAAAAAATAATTGAGATAGATTTTTTTCCTTATTTTTCCTAAAGTAGTCATGACTATGTCCATCCTGTGGCGTCGGCTTATCCTTGAATTTTGAGACACGTTGTATACATAGTTGGTCAGGGAATTTTGAAAAAATTGTCAGGGAAAGTCAGGGAAAAGTCAGGGAATTTTTTCGAACATTTGCAGTGGACACCCTGCTTCTGTTCACTCACATTTAAATACCTAAGGTAACTTGTCCACTACCTTCGCGACAAAGTTAAATTATTATCGACTATCATTAGCTCAACACACATCGGGAAATTCCGGTCCTATGCTGCCCGTATTCTTGGAGGTTTGTTTAATGAGATATTGAAGACTCAAGTCAAATAAATAAAACTTAAGAGCCGAAGTCCTTTAGAATTTTAAGTCTTGTAAAAAGTCTTGAGTCCTGCCAAAAAGAACCCAAAAACTGAGCCTTTTTATAATAACTCATTACTGAGTCCTTTAAATACATAGCTGTACAGTCCTATCAACTTAAGCTGAGAATTGCATTTGTGTGAGTGATCGCCAAAAGTACCGTTAGTAAAACACATACATATAAAATTAATGTTTTATTAAAAGTAAGTCTATAAAACACTTGCTACCAATTGGGCCGATGTAACGACACTTGACACATCCTTTTAATATAAATAAATAAAAACAGGTTCTCGCTCAGCATATGCCATGACACGAAGTACCTCGACGCTGATATTCTGCGAGCACCGTTTATAGAGGCGTTTATAGGGCGTCCAGCCAGCCTTACAAAATACAACAAAAAGACAAACAAATTTATAAAATTACAAAATAAAAACAGACTAAAAACTTTTCGTTCACACCTTTAAAATACGTATTCAATTTGCATAAAATTTATTTCACTTGGCTGCTGGATTTCGTACAGGAAATTCACTTACAGTAGGAGCCATTTCACTAATATTTGGAACACAATTACATAAAATTACACGTCTATCTGCTACCAGTACCGAGAGTGAAGTAAAGTATGGAAGCGGCGCGCGGCGGGTGCGCCGCGCTTTAGGCCGCTTGCTTTATATAAACCGGTTTAAACCATGCGCGGGACTCGCCGCGCTTCAAGCCGATTGCCACTCTACACTATCGGTGTGCACTCACACAAATGCAATTCTCAGCTTAAGTTGAGAGGACTGTAGTTTGAAGTACATAAATACAAAAATTTAAAGAACTCAAAAGACTCAGAAGACTCAAAGTGCTCGGACTCATTGTGACTAACGAAGACTGCCACTCAAGTGTGACAGTTAAATTCTCTACAATTGTTGTTCCCATTAAATTCTCAATGCCGATTGTTTTTGTCCACAGAGGCACAGTGCACGGTCGGCAAGTGATCGGCGCGCGCGCGTGCTCCTGTCCAACACGTGACTTACGCTCCGCAGAGGAGAAGGCGAACCCACCGCATGCCGCGTCCAAGAAACGCATCGCACGCGCCGCCACCAAGAAGCCTAAGAAGGTCAAGCTCGAAGCGCCTTCAGACCCGAGCGACGATGGCCTGTTCACTCTTCCACAGGTAAGTCTACTTCGTCAGCAGGGTTACTACAAAATGCTGTACGTAGCATACAGGTATTATATCTGTCACTGTCGCACATGCTGGCATATCGCTTTGCGTGAGAGGGATGGCAACATTTGAGAATTTGGATGTTTTTCGGAGTAAAACCGCTGGACTATTCGAGTTTGGTAGTCGACACCATTTATGCGATTGACGAAGGCGGACCCACCGCATGCTGCGTCCAAGAAACGCATCGCACGCGCCGCCACCAAGAAGCCTAAAAAGGTCAAGCTCGAAGCGCCTTCAGACCCGAGCGACGATGGCCTGTTCACTCTTCCACAGGTAAGTCTACTTCGTCAGCAGGGTCCCCGTGACATGGCAAAAAAGGCGTGTTCGGCTTTTAGGGTAAAATGTCCGGCCAAATTAAGCACCGAGTCCGGCTTTTGTGTTTTTGGACCTGGCAACCCTATGCTGGCATATATAGCTTTGCGTGAGAGAGATGGCAACATTTGAAACTTCGGATGTTTTTCGGAGTAAAGAATTAATTTCGAAAGTTAAACTGAGATGCCTTCGAAGCGGAGTCCCAAACTAAGCAAAGCTTGTTATAGATCGTTTCATCCACGCTTCATCACCATTCTTCCGCTAATGTTTGAGTGTTATCGGTACACGTTATATTATCCATGAGTGCACACGCACACTACAAAATGCCGCTCGGATTTCTCAGATCAAACTCCCCGCACCCCGCGCGACCGTGACCAAAAATTAGTGGGGCGCGTCTTCGTGGATGAACAACTTATCTTATTTTTTCAATTATTACATACAACAGGATTATGTTTATGCACACAATATTAATTTAACTGACATTTAATTTGCTCATTATTACTTTTCTTTTCCATATAAAACTTCTCAGGAAGAAAAAGAGCAGGGATGACACATCACAGGACGTGCACTCCCCAAAAGTCGAATTAACAATCAACATCAAATCTGATTAAAGCCGCTGGGCTGATTGCAGATAAAAAAAAACTTTTCTTTATACTTAAATCACGCTTTAACATTTGTATGCCGACAAGGCTGATCACGGCTTGAACACATCTTTTGTTTGTACATCATACTCCTTACCTGTGTTTCACAAATAAATTATTTGAATTTGATTTGTGAATAGAATAGACCAGGCCAGCGTTAATTAAAACTTTTTTACTCTCAGGTACAAGTAGTAGGCAAGAACGTGATGATCACAGGCCTGGAAGTGATGGTTAACATGATGGAGCATGCCAAGACCGTCAACCACGACCCGGAGTACGCACGAGCCTGTGACTTCTGCATTGACAACATTAGAGCAACGCTGGAGCAATACAGATCGAGCAACCACTAAACGGAGTGAGCAGTACGTAGACGTAGATGGCCAATGTTTTACAAAATATCACCAGCGGTGGATGGTGAAAGAAGTCCCTGTCAATGTTTGACTGATGCTTTCATACCTAATTTTTAAGTGACCTCTATGGTAACACTTATCAGGAATTTTGTTTTCATATGGGTCACTTAAAAATTAAGGATTGATGGTGAAAACGGGTATGAATACCCTGAATATTGTTCATACTGCTACAATGGACAACATAAATATTCTGTCATGTATACTAAATATTGTGACTTATTTTTAGTTGTATCAAGTGCTATTTACTGCAATAATGTGCAAGTCTGATTTTTGATGATTTCACTATACATCTTTTTGAATGACCAGTGCGCTCAACTTTTTTAATAATGGTCGAATAGACAATTTAGGTTTTTTTTCTACTTAGTAACTTGTTCGAACTAATCTGCCAAATATTTTATAACTTGTGGTTTTAAAGGGATATCTGGCAGATAAGTCACCGGTAAATAACAGCCTTTATTTTTAGAGGGTTTACGCGAATGAAAAATCCGCCAGATGGCAATACGTAGACGCGAGGTCCAAATGCTGCATGATTGGTTATTTTTAACATGACGTTGACAGATATGTCAAAATCCACCAATCACGCAGCAGTCAGACCCCACATCCACGTCCCGCCATCTAGCGGATCTTTCATTCGCGAAAACCCTCATTGCTAGTTAGCCATTGAAATCTTAATCATAGACCAGTGAAACTGACTCTTGGTTGAATCTACATTTTACAAACTTGTTGGTAAAAAGGGTGTGATAACACAACCACTGTTTAGTAAGAATAGACTAATATGAACTAAGGTTTTTCTAGAATGTAGGACTTATAGGGTGCTAATGTATGTTGGCATGGGACAACAGGCTTACTAGTTTAAATGAATAGTTTATGTAAAAATATTAAGGTTTATGCATTTTGAGAAAGTATACAATATTGAAGTGACTGAAATAGCAGAAAATAGTTGAACAGTTTTTCAGGTGTTGTGTATTTTATCAACTTTTTGATTTTTTACCTCTTACAATCATGGAAGAAATTTGATATTTCTCTATTCCATATTATTTGATACTACCATGTCATAGACTTGTTTTATTTTTGAAGTATTTATTACTTGCAATAGTTGCAATGCATAAACTGTACACTTCAGCTGGACGTATACATTAGTATTTAGCGCATTGCAAACTATTTTTATACGTATTTGAAATATGTTAAAGAATAAATTTGCTTGCGCCTATAATATTTGCTCAAAGAGATAAATGTTTGAAAGGAACAACTTGCGAAGATGGATATAGTCACTGCTTTAGGGGATTTTTGTATGAAATTATTCAAAAGTGCCATATGTAAACGTCTTGCTGGATTTCTTACTATTATTCTTAAGTTCCATTGTAGTTGTTTCGCTATTTTAGAATAGATTTTACAATATTTAAAGTACATTAAGTATTTCAATACTTTTTAAGTTTATTTAATTATTGTGTACATAAAGTCAAGTGGCTACAAACAAAGTATAACACCAATTTAACAATAAGTACAACTCGGAGATTCTTAGATCTTAAACCGCCAGAGATTATTGTCATAGTCTAAATATGTTTTTCATAAATATTACAGTTATCTACTGTTTTTCCGTGACACACAATCTGTTGTCAATTGTAGTTTAAAAAAAAATTAAATTAATATTGTATAAATTGCCTGTCTGAAGTCGGGATTTATTATTATGATATAATTTGAAAAATCACCTTTTTGAAGACACAAACATTGGCGTTACTTTTATAATATAATTCTAGTGTTTTCTATGAAACTACACGCACATTGATTTCTAAGTAACAATATCTTCTTCCACACTGATGTAAAGATGACGAAAAACTTGAAGGCAAAGCCCTACACATTTCTAGTTATATGGGAAGTAGGTATTGATATTTGTAAAAAATTAAAATGCATTTATTTCTGATCATGAAGCCATTAAGCTATGCCTTTACAAGTATTTTAATTGTTATTTCAATGTTTCAATGCTCATTTGTTACTGTTAAATAACCTACCTTTTTTAAATTAAAGCCTTTGTCTTAAAAAACATTTTCTATGAATAACTTTTATTTGAGATTTTTTGGTAAATGGATTTATGTAGCTCTGATGGTTTTGGAGATGCATATCGCTATTGAATAATTGACTCTCAGTTAACAAAGTTATGTTGAAATGTTAAATTGTTGACCATGTTAATTAGATTTGACAGTGCCTTTGAAGTAAACTTATAATTACTGAATTTTGGATTTGACTTTACAATTGTATTTTATATTTAGTTAGAATATAGATAATTTGTTTTATTATGATAGAAATAAGAATTATGAATAATATAATTATAATATAGCAATTTTAGTTATTATTATTATGAATGTCATGACTTCTCTAAAAGGAAGTGGTTATGTTTTGTATTAAAATGTTTCTTCCATCATTGTATTCAATAGTGTTGTGGCTGATTTGTTTATGATATTCTGCAATCCAAAGCATAGAATAAGTAACAATCAACTTTTCAGTGACACATTTTGTACAAACATTGGCTTTATAAAGAAATTGTCCGCCTTTAATAGATTTAATGGAGATTTGAAATACATTTTCATATTCAAAATTTGTATTTTTTATTTCCACCTTATTCCCTGATATTTTTTCAATTTACTTATAGTGGAGAAATTAGGATGATGCAACATTGATAGGTGATTGGCAGAACTTCAGAAAGTACATGGTGTGCTCTAAAATGGATTAAAGTTTAGTCAGTAATTATTTTTAAAGCACAAGTTTTGCATGCATTTCCTGTAATGTTCTTATGAACTTGTTGGTTCTGAAATAAATTAAAAACAAGTTTTGTAACCATAGCTGTATTATTTACAGTAATTTCAAATGGCCTGTGACTTTATCAACAATGTCTTTTGGTGCTGGCCCCACTCCCAACACAGTGACGGAGTTGGCTGCTATTTGTGTCCTTCCCGCGTCTCTAATCATTGAAGTAATCAGTCCCATTTTCTTTGCGTTCTCCGCTATTTGCATAACTTCATCTAACGAATCGGTTTTTAGTGCTATTTTCGCTTGACCTGTGCGCTGCCAACATCTAAGTCCCGCTGGATCCTTCCTCTGTGCCTTCTCAAAGACTCCAACTGCTGCATGACCACATTGAGCTGCTATTTTGCCTTTCGACATGTTAAGATCTGTTCTCACTACTAAAACTACCTTGTATTCTGAATTTGATGCAAACTGAAATGAAATACAAAATATGTTTTAGACACGTCATAACATTACATTCATAATAGAATTTATAACAACATTCATGTTAAAAAAAACTAATTATGTTGTTGATACACTGATAAGGTTAGTAATGCCAAGTGCAAAATTAATATTAGTTTATTAATTTTGCACTTTTAAAGAAACAGATTGGATGATTGAAAACTTACCATTTTAACAGCTTTTGCAGTTTCAGTGGCCGAACCGAAGTATTTTTTCAGGGCAAATAAAGAAATGCCGATACATAAACCACATCCGAGTCCAGTCAAAAAAGAAAAAGGAATGTCCATCTTTCTTTTGGAAGTAATGATTATTGGATTATTATATCAGTCCTAAGGACTGTTTAAGTACTTTAAAGACTTTTATTTATTTAAAACTCAATTTTAAAAGTAAGGATGCACGGTCATAACCTCAAACAAATTCAGCTGGTTGACGTTTCCCTTCAGCTGTCAATGCCATTATGTTATTGACAGAAGAATAGTTTTTTTAGGAGGACATTGGAAATGATATTGCGAACCAAAAGGTAGAAAATTAATACACACACAGTTTTATTAAATGGCAGCAATACTCGTATTTTATTAATAAATTAACTAAATTGAAATTATTGAAATAAAATCATTTTAAGATCATCTCTCTCTACAGTCTACTCAAGGTTCTACTCGTTACCTCTCGTTACTAAGCAACAAAAGTTGTTTATTTACTATCTTTCAAATTGACTGCTATCACGAGTTTACACGTTATTTTTAGTTTATTTTAGATTGAACACTGAACACCGAAAATGAAGAAAACGTCGAAGGATTTGGCGCCTATCGCCATCCCACATGGCCCTCCGGTGGAATCCACCGCCGAATATTATAAATCTCTCATGGAGAGTGCCAGGATGGTCAAGTATGCAGTAGCATAGTAATGCCAGGGATGGCGAACCAATGGCACGCGTGCCAATGATGGCACTCGCCACAATATTGATGGCACGCCACCAATCACAAAATTTACTATAAAATAGTAAATAATGTGTCTAGATTTTGGGCTATCGTATTTGCCCTCATCAATTAGTGCCACTGTAGAGTAAGGTCCAGTCACTTGTGCGATACTACACCTCATTGATAACATCAGGTGTTGTTTTGAAGGCACGTCTATGACTACATCAAAAAATATTTAGAATGATGGCACGTTGATACATAAAGGTTCGCCATCTCTGTACTATGCTATCCGCTTTTAACACCTCTATAACCTAAATATCTAGAACTCTACAATAAATGAGATATTCCAAGGAATTACTATCAGGATGTTACGTGTGCTTAGAGTTAAATTTTGGCGCGCTTTTTACACACTGGAATGGAGCATAGCATCAGGACCTAGATTTTTATTAAATAATCCACATAATTCCAGCTGAGATCCACGTTGTCCGTAAGATTCGTCCGTTTCAGCCAAATGACGTCCACAGCTGGACATACTTATGCCTTCTCCAAAGTACTTCCCGCGACCTTTACCAGATCGTCGGTCCACCTACTGGGAGGCCTGCATACACTACATCTTCAATATTCCAGCCAGTAAGAGTAGGTAATTTCGTTAAAAATAGGCGTTGATTTTGCAGAAAATACCCAGTCTGGGATGTGGCGCGGCCGACTCCGCAGGTGCTCATGGAGCAGGCGCGCCGGGACCTCATGCAGGCAGATGAGAAGCTCGCCGAGAAGAGAGAAGAAGAGAAGAAGAACAGAGCCGTGATGGACGCCAAGTGGGAGGACTTGAGGACCAAGGAGATGCTGCTGAAGGAGTCTTTCATTAGCTTTAATAAGGTTTGTTTGGTAGACAATGGAAGATTATGGAGTAAGATATTAGGGATATCACAAGGTACATAGAGGGATGTCATGATTTAGTAGGTACCTACCTACATTACATAGGTATGATAGGTAAACGAAAGCCTGTAATTTTTCAAGAATTGCGCATTTAGTAGAAAAATAGCTTAAAATTGGCGTGGCAGCACTGATGCGTAACACGTTTTGTGTTTGGCAACATTGCCTGAGGATAGTAGAGTAGGAGGGATTGGTACCATAAACATGCATTTAAGTAAGCTTGAAATTATCAACTGTCTCTGTGCGGGAACTTAAACCCACGATTTTCTTTACTTTAGGTAAGTAAGTACATTCTTTCTGACTGCCTGCTGTAACGTCGAACTGATCTCCTAACCACTGAGTCACAGTAACCTTCTTAAGGCAAACCTATCGAAATTTTTAAGTCTTTTGTTTTAATCACATTTCTTCATCTATCCACCTACCAGTTCATTAGAGAAAACCAAGAGAAACGCGACCGCGCCGAGCGTAAAATGGAGGCCGACAGTGAAGTCCTGGAGCGGAAGACGCGCGAGACCGAGGCCATGCGGCAGCGTGTCGCCGAGATGGAGGAGGTCAAGCAGCTCATGGAGAAGCAGGTCAAGGACTACACCATCTATGAGGTGAGCTGGAAAAAGGGACAAAGGCTCAACAAAGCTGTAATCAAAGGGTCTAAAGCCCGGTCCGTGAGCACGTAGAATTTTGTCCAATGACCCCTAGCTACCCATCCTTATCGCTCGCGCGTATTGCTGTATATTGCTGTCGCGACTGTGCGACTGGCACCCGCAGTGAGTGTGCGAGCGCGATAGCAACATAATTACGCGCGAGCGATAAGGATGGGTAGCTTGGGGTCATTGGTCAAAATTCTACGTGCTCACGGACCAGACTATAGACCAAAATATGGATCAAGTCCTCAAAAAAGTCCCTGGGTGCATCACAGCCCCGGAAATACACTTGGATGTGGCAGTATGACGTCATTATTAGAGATTAGAAGTCTACTTAGTTGTGGGCAAGCCCATCGTGCGTGCCTCACTTAGCGTAGTGTGGATCCGCGTCTGCCTAATAGCTGTTTGTTTAGGTTTTATCAATTAAAAATATTAAAACAGAAGCTACGTATGTAAATGCTAGCTTATTGGAATCCCGAAGACACCAAAGTTGGGAGAACTTTTAGCTACTAACTACGCAAGGTTTGATTGTCATTTAATTCCTGCCAGACTGTAGACTGTTCTTATTAATTTACTTAATATTTGAATTTTCAGGACTATCTTATGGCGGTCGTACGCAACTATCCCGAGTTCAAGCAGCCGCTTGACGTCTTGAACCGTTACGAAGCTTTAGGTATTTACACAAACAATAACTGAACTTTACTTACAGAAATTAACAGCATCTAACGAACTGGGATTTCATATTGCAGCGGCAGCAAAGAGCACACTGGCAGAACGTCAAGAGAGAGACCTAGAGATGTTGGAAGAGGCGAGGCAGGAGATTGGCGCCCTCACTGAAGAGAAGAAACTGTTCATCATGGGTTTGAACAACACCCTTGCCAACTTGAGAGTAAGTCCTTTTCCTTTCACTATTATAAATCTAAGATATTTTATTTTTACAGTTTATCTCTTCATAACATGGGTATCTTTGGTAAAAATTAGATATGTTACATTTGAAGATGCCACAGCCTATTTAGCTCCATATACCTACTTATGTACCGTCATCAGACCTAGGATAGCGCATGAAGAACAATCGCCTTTATGCTATGACCGCAATGGACGCCGAAATGCCACTATCAAAATCAATCGAGTCCATAATTTATTTGATGTGAAAGTGTCAACCAAAAATAATCTAAAGGCGTCGTAAGGCAATTTTCGATCTTCCTTGACAGGCACTGCAAGACTCTTATGTGGCGGTAGATTGCCAAAGACGATTTTACTTTAACATCATTTTGATAAAACTGTCGATGCCTTAAAAAAACGCAAGTATTGCTAGGAACTTAACATTCCATATTTTCCCAAATGATATCTCAACTGCATCTTCCAGTGGCAATACGACAAAGTCCGCAACCGGGTCATCAAATGGGAGTTGGCCCTGAACCGGCTCAAAGAAACCGCAGCTCGTCGTCACGTGGAGCTCTGCCACGTCCGTTCAGCCATCTGGGCTCTATACGTCAAAATCTGCAAGCAGAAGGGACTGGCCATAGACATCAAGACGTCCGACTTTGAACAGCAGCTGGTGGTTATAATGAGAGCGCTGTTAGAACTGAGGAGGATCTATAGGATCGCGCAGAGGAGGTCCAAGGAAAAGTTAGTAACCTATTTTTGGAACTATGAATGAAATCGTGTTCTTTTTTATAAGAATGTAGGTACAACAGCGTGGAGTTAACTGCTTACCTGGCGGCCGTGACGTCACATCAACGCTCTGGTACGAAACGGGGCGAATGCGAGATGTGCGGTGGTGGGAGTGGAAATCACGACAATTCAATCCCGAGGCAACTGAAAATCATGACAACCCAACCCCAACCCTCGACAATTCGATCCTGATTACATGCTTGACCATGACAATTTCTTTGATGATGATTATTTTGATTGACATCGATGTTTTTTCAGGGACGCCGAGTCAATGCAAACTGCATGAAAAGGTAACAAAACTGCACGAAAGTAAGTGTTTAATGAAATAATTTATTAAATTTACAAATCACTTCATGATTTTTAATACATTTTCAATGAAATTATTTTGTTTCATTATACCTACTTATAAATAAGTAAATAGATATTAGCCAAAGTTGTTAATCAAGCTTTTTAAAATATAAATAGGTGTTAGGTAGCAAAGTTAGCTCTTTAACTAGTCTAAGTAAGTAGTGATTTAAATTTTAATAACGATCGTTTCGAACTTAAATGAAGTTTTGTCAAGTTTTAACTGCAGGCAACTTAACGTTGGTTGTAATTACACCTTAATTGAGTTGACAACAGTTTAAACTTCCTAACTAGAGAGGGTTAATTAGTGCAATTAGTATGTAATAAAAGACCGTTTAGATTAATGAAGAAGTATAAAATGCTTCTTACAAGCGAATATCGCGTGGAAAGTTAGACTTTCTTTCCGTGTCGTTTCAGACATCAGATTTTATCGCGTCTGCGGGTCTTAAGTTTAAATATTAGAAATATGGGCCTGCGCTTCTTGTCGATAAATAAGTATTTTATGCGCTGTAGTTCGCTAATTTTTACGGTGCCACAATTTTTAAATTAAACCGCAACAGAATAGTTTATTGTGTAAGCTCCTTAAACATAGTCTTTAATTAATCCAAGCTTTTAATCATTATTCGTAATCAGACCAGAAACTAAGCTCCGCCGTTGTCATTTTGAGACAGGCTGCTTTATCAAAATGAAGTTCCCGTGGCATCGAGGTGGCATGAGGCCTAAAGAACCCCTGTCCACCTTGGACTCACTGCCAATAAATAACTACACGCATTTCTTAGAAATACCTTTAAAGATAGTAGGCTGCTGGGACTGGTACGACCACCCAAAATCCGTAAAAGAAATCATTGTCAACAACGTGTATTTCTGCATGGTTCTTTTCGTTCTTATCAATGTCCCGGCAACTTTGTATATTCATTTGTATACAGAGTGGTTAGACGTCATGACCAGCCTGGACAAACTGGCTGACTGCCTTCCTTTTGTGGTCTCGATTATCATTGTTGTATACTTCGGGCTGTATAGAAAGGAGTTGTACGAATTGACGAAGTTTATGCAGCGTAAGTTCCACTATCGTTCGGCGAACGGATTGACGAACATGACGATGCTGAACAGCTACAAGACCGCGAGAAATTTTGGGTACTTTTATACAGCTTGCACCATGTTCAGTGTGTCTATGTATATGATACCGGAGATTGTGAACCGTAAGTAACTACTTACCTCTAAATATTGCTAACATTTAGATGCTTTATACGTTCTTTTGTAAAATAGATAACCTAACCTAAAGTAAGACGAAACTGCTCATGGAATACCAAGGATTAAGTAGATGCCGTGTTTCCCAAGGTAAAATTTTAAAAAGAACAAGGACTTTTCTTCTTGACGGGGGATTTGTAAGTCTAGGACCTACATTATAAGTAAGCAGTAGTCAATGTCATTACACCTAAGCCTGAAGAATGATGATTGATGATCATACGATTGTATAATATAGCTACTACTTTTCTAAATCTGCCAGAAACATTCCTTTCTGATTTTAGGGTTGAAAAGACAGCCTCTGCAGAGCTACATGTACATGGACGTGACGAGGTCTCCGTTCTTCGAGTTCACTCTCTTGCGGCAGTGTGTGGCGCAGGCGTTCGTTGGACTGGCCATGGGACAGTTTGGTGAGGACGAGGAACAAGCAATGCCATTAGTTTAGTTTAACCTTAGACTAAAGATTTTCTAATCTAGAGAATGCATTACACCAATTTAAAGAGCATTGCATGGAAAATCAGTGAAACATGTACCTAAAAACAACAGTCGCCGAAAATTGGAAATGTAACCTATCAGACTGATAGTATCAGTGGTAAAACACGTTTGTGTCCAGAAGTTCCTACCTATATCTATTATATATATAAAAGAAAGTCGTGTTAGTTACTCCACTTATAACTCAAGAACGGCTGAACCGATTTAGCTGAAAATTGTCAGGGAGGTAGTTTAGAGCCAGGAGAAGGACATAGGATACTTTTTATCCCGTTATTTATTGCCATTAAGGCGGAACAAAGTTCGCCGGGTCAGCTAGTACTAGATAAATATTTAATTATAGCTACTTGCTTACCTTTCGGTTGACTTCATCGCGTTCGTTCACAGCTTCTTCTGTCTCCACGGTGCAAATGTAGGCGCGGTAACGTCCATAGTAATCCAAATTTAGAGTTTGCGGTTGAGTTGAAGATACTGGTCACTTGCTGTAGGGTCTTTTTAAATAGCACACACAAACGAAGAATTTTTTACATCGGTACGATCACAGTTGAACAGTTTTCTGTACTGTGGGTGGGTACGATAATGCGGGTAGATGTCAGAAACAAATGTCGTGTTGCCAGTTAACAAGAGTAAAAAATTACTAATGAAAATAAGTGTTGCCATTATAACGAACAGCATGACTTATTTAAAATAACTTTTTTCAAAGAATTTAGATATTTTGAAATGCATAGTGTTCCGCAGGGATGCAAAAAGCCGTAAGTTCATAGTAAGTAAACATGGCCAGAACACTAATTTTCAGCTTGCTTGTCCAACATTCTTGTCTGTCATTTACCTATCCAGTCTAGTAGGGAATTTAGTGCAAGAACCCCTCCACTTTGGTATAGAAGGCTCATTTTTTCACCAGTTGTTCTTTGGGTGCTCTTGAGTAGATTTCCGTCGGTAGACATCGGGAGCCCCCCCTGTGGTAGCAGGGGGAGGGGGGGCAAGTTTCCTTCTGCCGCGCTTCACTTTAAGGCCCATATCTTCAAAACTATGGGTATAAGGGCAAGTGTGGTGTCATTTTCGGATAATTAAAGAATGGCGAATTCATTTCTAGAACAAGCTTTTTGCCTTTTCATACAAAAAAATAGAAATATGGAGTAAAATTCACAAAAACCAAAAAGTATTTTTTTAAATAAACGTCGTTTACTTTTAAACCACTGGAGATAATCTAATAAAAAAAAATATGTCCTAAAAGCTACATTTATCAGGATTATAAATATGTACCATTGTATGGTACTTTTTTTGAAAAAAGTAGGTGAAAAAATTTTTTTCTTCAGGACACAGCGGATGAATTTTAATGCGCGTCGGAAAAAAATATTTCTTTTATCCATGAATTCATACTATTTGGTTCATAAGCAAGTAAAGATTATTATTTTAGAATTTATTTAGAGTTCCTGGCACATCATGCTACCATGATTTGTATTTTTTCTTCAATTAATTTTGAACTCTATGTGTAAGACATAAGGTTGAAAATAGTTTAATCACATTGTATTAATGAAAATATCATAAGAAGAAAGCACTAAATAAAGAACTTGAATTTGTCTAAACGTTTAATGATTATTATTATTAAACTCTAAATAAATTCTAAAATAATAATCTTTACTTGCTTATGAACCAAATAGTATGAATTCATGGATAAAAGAAATATTTTTTTCCGACGCGCATTAAAATTCGTCCGCTGTGTCCTGAAGAAAATATTTTTTTTCACCTACTTTTTTCAAAAAAAGTACCATACAATGGTACATATTTATAATCCTGATAAATGTAGCTTTCAGGACATATTTTTTTTATTAGATTATCTCCAGTGGTTTTAAAGTAAACGACGTTTATTTAAAAAAATACTTTTTGGTTTTTGTGAATTTTACTCCATATTTCTATTTTTTTGTATGAAAAGGCAAAAAGCTTGTTCTAGAAATGAATTCGCCATTCTTTAATTATCCGAAAATGACACCACACTTGCCCTTATACCCATAGTTTTGAAGATATGGGCCTTAAAGTGAAGCGCGGCAGAAGGAAACTTGCCCCCCCTCCCCCTGCTACCACAGGGGGGGCTCCCGATGTCTACCGACGGAAATCTACTCAAGAGCACCCAAAGAACAACTGGTGCAAAAATGAGCCTTCTATACCAAAGTGGAGGGGTCTCCATACAAATCATTGCACTAAATTCCCTACTAGTCCCCATACCCGTCATATCTTTCCAGGAGTATTCTTCGCGTCCAACGCGATTCTTCTGTGCGGTCAGCTGGACCTGTTATGCTGTAGCCTACGCAACGCGCGCTACACCGCACTCTTGCGATGCGGCGTGTCGCACCGCAGCGTGGCGGCCGCGCACAGCGACATACAGGGCGACGAGCTGTATAACTACATCTACAATATTGCTGAGATGAGGCAGTCGATATACCATTATGATCAGAGGATGGTAAGGTATTCCTGGCACAAGTTTAAGACGTAAAACAAGCACAGCAAAATAATATTAATCAAAATGTATTGTTTCAGAGCTACGAGATAATGAATAAACGGTCATCTTTTGGTAAGTGGGGAACCATAAATAGAACCTAAGTAGGTAAGTATCTACCTGCTAAACCTTCGCTCGCTGATCAAAGTAGACTTCATGTAAAGAACTTCTTCGCAGAACCGGTGTGTGGCGAAGTACTATCTATTTCAGGCTTTTGAATAAAGACCATCTTTCAGGAAACGGAGTAGGTACTTTAAAGCTCACCTGCTTAATGGCTTCAGTCAGGATAATAGCTGGTGCAGTGGCTCCATGAAAAAAGAAGCAGAAAGGTCGTCCTTACATCAGGGAACTGCTACTGGCAGAAATGACAACAAATATTGATTTGCATATCACCAGACATCTACAGCAGCGAGTTCGACGCGGCGACGTGCGAGGCGTTGCGTGATTGCGCACGCGCCTGTGACGTCATTAACACGTTCAAAGCCAAGTTCGAGAGCTTCGTGTCGCCGCTGCTAGCGCTTAGAGTGGTGCAGGTCACTATGTACCTCTGCATGCTGCTGTATGCTGCGACCCTGGTAAGTGTAAACAAGCATCTACTTCGTTTCAGCCAAATGACGTCCACTGCTGGAGAAAGGTCTCCCCCCAATGAAGGATTTCCACAACTAAGTACCGGTCCTGCGCTGCCCGCATCCAGGTTCTTCCCGCGACCTTCACAGATCGGCTGTCCACCTAGTGGGTAGTGGGTATGCCTACTTACCTTGATATTTATCAGTGATCTTCAAGAATATTTTCCCGAAAACTTAGAATAAATTGGGAATGGATTTGTTCTTTTTTTATTTATTTTTTTGTGTCAAACAAATTTATTCTTATCTTTATCTTAAATCTCAAGACGTTTGTATTTTCAGAAATTAGACATGGTGACGGTGGAGTATTTGGTGGCTGTTGCGCTGGACATCTTCGTGTACTGCTTCTATGGCAACCAAATTATTATACAGGTTGGAACACTCCTTCTAACTAAGGGGTGGAACTTAATTGATTACAAAATTCTGTTTTAAAATTTACTTTCTCTCCTGAGCGAGCACCAGCAGATCTAGAAGTGAAATTGTTACTATGAACTGAACTAACGATGCTTCAGACAACGGTTCTGTTTAAAATTTTCATTTAATTAACCACAAGGTTTTTGATGACAAATATTACCCCCCCTAGACATGTGACAATCCCTGCACGAAGTGAATAGGTAACTCCATACAAAAAACGCCGGAGAGAAGCCCTTTCAAAATTACAACTGTCATGTTTTGCCACATCTCCAGGGGGAAGTCTATAATGCATTTTCATTAAAATTACTACAGTCTGGTCTGCGAGCACGTAGAATTTTGTCCAATGACCCCAAGCTACCCATCATTATCGCTCGCGCGTAATTATGTTTGCTGTCGCGCTCGCACACTCACTGCTGCCGCCCGTCGCACAGTCGCGACAGCAATATAATTACGCGCGAGCGATAAGGATGGGTAGCTTGGGGTCATTGGACAAAATTCTACGTTCTCGGAGACCGGGCTTTAACCTTGGTTTTGTATTATTTCAACCACTTTACTATTGCAGGCGGACCGCGTATCCACCGCAGCGTACCAGAGCGCGTGGCCGACCATGGGCGTGCGCCCGCGCCGCCTGTTGCTCAACATTCTCCTCGCTAACAAACGCCCAGTGGTTGTTCGTGCGGGGAACTTCTTGTCTATGGATCTCCACACTTTTGTCGTGGTGAGATCTTTTGTCGATCATATCCTATTTTCTTCCGTTTAATTTCGTTGTGGGTCCAATGACAGTTGAAACTTTTCCTCTGGGGCAAACATCTTGCTAGTTAAAAGGCGCCCAGTGGTTGTTCGTGCGGGGAATTTGTTATTTTTGGATCTCCAGTTCTCCACACTTGTCGTGGTGAGAACTTAAAATTCTTTCCCCTGGGACCAACTTGGCCCTTTGTCTGCCTAGCCGGGCTAGGATGCGCGCCGTGATAAAATCGTATCGATGATTTTAGACGACAAATGACAACGACAAAAATCGATAAAATGGCGCGATAAAAGCTTATAGAGGCGCGCATCCTAGGCCTTAAATCCTAAGACTGAAAAGGGCTGAAATCGCTACAATATACTAGCGTTTAACTGAGTCAGTGCCTGAGGTATACAGGGTGTTAGGTAAATGGGTATATGAGCCGACACTAGCCCATGTTAACGTGGGCATATAAATGATATGGTGAAGTCAGAAATTTGATATCATCATTTTAATTTTTTTAATTTTCATACAAAATAAATGTCATAAAATCCGATTTGTATGAATTTTTTTTTTAAATGAAGATATCAATTTTCTGACTTCACCATACCATTTATATGCCCATGTTAACATGGGCTAGTGTCGGCTCATGTACCCATTTACCTAACACCCTGTAGAGCGGCAAGGGAGGCTGTTTTTGAGACGTCAATACGTCAGTGAGAAACATCAGATTTGTTTTTGTTTGTTTTGTCACGTCATAACAATTTCAATTATATCCCTCCCGTACCGCTCCCATAGCTCAGGCACTGACCCGAGTTAGGCGCTAGATCTTTAATAAAGAATCTATCACACTATATTGCTCATTAAAGCATTGCAATTTTAAATATAATCAAGCTAGTCTTTTGTTTCAGATAATCAAGACATCTTTCTCTTACTACACTTTATTAGTAAACGTAAATGAAAAATAATATTACTCATTGCATTTACTTTAAAAGGGCTTTGTATTTAGACGCTTATTTAGTTTAAAAAATTGTATCAATAGGCACTTTTACTTAGCTGTAGAAAATATAGTTCTTATTTCTTAACGGATTAGGATTAGTCTACAAATAAAACATGATGAATCTCAGAAAGAATTTTATTTACGAAATTAATATACAATTCTCTTGTTCATACATAATAATCGTTTGTATTGACCGGCCGGGGCCGCAGCGTCAGTCTAATTCAGCAGCGACAACAGAGTGAAACTATTTGAGTGCGGCCTGCTAGGTTCACAGCTCTGCGATTTAAAAGATCTTTTTTATGAAAACTTCATTTTAATGACGCGATTCCAGATTAAATCTGCCAAAAACGTACATTTATGTTTGACGGAAAATAGAAATTGTAAGCGTTTATAAGCAAAATTGCGATCGCTAAGCGGTAAGTGCTGTCACTGCTAAAAAAATGAATGAAACACGTCACTATTGAAGTTAGCAAACGTGTCATTGCTGGCCGTAGCGATCGTCTTTTTGCTTATAAGCGCTTACAATTTCTATATTCCGCCAAACGCACCCATTGTTGCATATTTCACCTTTGGTTTTCAAACTTTCTTTTTAAAACCCCGTCTGCAAATGGGTGTGTATAAAATAGGCTGTGGTCTTATATAAACGCCGTAGGACGCTTACATCCTTACAATATAAATGTACTGTTGTGGACTCCTTCAGACGTTGACGTCATCGTTCAGACGTTGACGTCATTGTTCAGACGTCGATAGCAACGTTCAACGGTGACGTCAGACGCCGCGTTTATAGGAGACCGTAGCCATATGCCAGCGCAAGCTGCCGGCAGCTTGAGACGTCTATAATATTTGATTTCGATTTTACATGTAACTTTTGACATTTTGTGCTTGTATCATAGAATATTGATACCTTCGCGTCACATCGCAGAGTGTAAACCGTCCAAGCAAGCAACTACCGTGAAAACTAACGTCCTGCCTACCGGAGGGACTGTGTTTATTAATATTTGTTCTCCAACACTACGCTTCGTTACATATTTATGCTTACTACTTATATTAAAGAGGAGTTTTATCAATTACTTCCAATATTATCATTACATCGGTCATTAATATTAAATTGCGATCGTCGGTTTTAACACTGGCAGGTTTTGAGGTCAAAGCGTTATTTTACTCACATTTATAGCAATACTAATTTATATAAAATTTGGCAATGCGCCTACGTCCATATTGGATTCGATTATCTTTGGTGTTCTTAATAAATCACCATTAAATAAAAAATATTCCCTTAATAATCGGGAAGTTATGTCATAATAACGCGACATTACTTTTGTTTTCTCGTCGAAAACATCTATTTATTATTAATACCTACAATGATTTCACAAGACGTTACTTACCACGAAATTTTAAGTTAAACCTACCATCGATTAGTATCAAAATGGCTGCCAGTATTAAAACCGTTCGCGGCTTAAATTACTCGGATATAGAACGCTATACGCCTCACGCACCGGGCATCCCAGGGCTTAGCTAACTGCCTTATTAAAAACAATATTAAAAAATAATTTCTACATCGCACCGTTTCCCAAACATGCAGGATAAACGAAAACATTCCTTAAATCACGTTCTCAGCTACATTGTAACAGAATATTCTGTAATACAATTTATGAATATGATTTCATATTACAAGTTCAAATAAAATTATACACTGAGATCGCGGTAGAATAAAAAACAATACAATATTACATTACTTGGCTGAGTGGGACATGCCCACGATTACAAATGTTGAGAAACGATGACTCCATGCAACGTTGGCAGTTTACTTACAATAAAATGGCTGACTTCAGGGACCACGTGACCAGTGAAGTTTGAATAGTGATGGTAAGACTCCGACTTATCGATACTTTGGACAATATCGACAACGATGACAAAATGAAGACTGAATACGTAGATAATACCGGGCGAGTCAATATTCTTACTGATAGGACGATATTTCTTAAATTAGCGATCAAGCTCTTACACTACGGCTACGAATAACGTATGACAGTCCATACTATCTACATGTAATCGACGTACGCATTAGAAATTAATAATTTAAGTAGATGTATTAAGTTCTATTTTGCAACGAAAATGTGGTTTTTATTAAACATTCACTGGTTACATCGTCAGCAACAGAAGTTGCTCGCGACTAAAACGTCGCTTGTGAGAACCCGGGGCTTCCCGGGGCGCCGAACAAATTGGCCAGCAATTGCTTTGCGAGCGATTGGCAACTAACACCCGGCTATAACAAAGCACGAAATAACAAACAATAATATTAAACATAACATTGCTTGTTAATCCTTGCCTTTTGAACGCTTGCGACCGATCAGTCAACCAGAGAGCGCGATACGACGCTTTTAAATAATACTTGATTGCTAAAATTTCATAATTTATAAAATCATACAAAAAAAATTACGAGTCCATAATAAAAAATGGGCACGAGCGATACTATACGCGACCGGGCGGCGGCACGTCACTAAAGCCGAGTCAATAGTTCACCACAAGATGGCGTCGTTGTCCATTAGTGATGTGACGCTGTCCAGGTTTTGGGAAGCTACTAATTTTAAGCCAAAGCTTTTTATGCTTACGGTTGTAGCTCTTAACTTTTCTCGATTCTGCAACAGATCTGTTTCTACCTCTTTTTGTCTCTCTCACACGTATAGTGTTATCTCTTGGTTAAATGACAATTCCTGCACTATTCGAGTAAGTAAAAGGGTACGTTTTTGCACACACGCAGTTCACAAAGTAAATTTTCGAGATTTTCTCGAACATTCCGAGCTTCGCGTATGCATAAACGCATATCAAAGAGATGTTGAAAACTGATCTATTGTCGAATCGAAGCGCGATAGTTCGCTCAGTTCACTATAGGCTAAAACATAGCCTGAAACCTGGCCTGTCAGTCGGCGTGACGTATGTTAAGCAGCCAGGCACGGTAGGGGTTCGTAGGTGGTTTGTATGGGTTCCATGCAAGTCGCCCGCTCTCACTGCATCAGCGCGGACCACTAACTGGGGAAGGGAGAGACAAACAGGTTTAATGACGTCATTCAAATCATAAAACATAAGGGCAATTCTGTTGGACCAGTATCTAAGTTCCAAACATGTCAAGATAATTAATTTGTAAGACGTTTCGGCTTTATAAATTACGTCTTTTTTAAATCTTATGACTGTTACGGCTGAATTTGTCCCACAATTAGATATTGGTCCAATAGTAATGTAAAATTAAGAAGGTTAATAAGAGCTGGCGAAAACAGATGGCATTTTATGGAATACATCTTTCAAATTGTTCATGTAAACTTTCGTGAAAGTGTCGGTTAATAAAACGAAAATTTGAAATGCATGAATAAAAATATAAGCGTTGTATAATCGACTATTCATGTCGCACGGCATTCACTTATTAAAATGAGTGACAATTAATTAGTATTGACATTTTTGCGTAATGAATGAGTGAAAGTTTAGACATAACAAATCACTCTTTCTCTACCTTGTTTTGTAACTGCTTCAGATTCAGATGTCTCTGAAGTTGAGAAAATAAACTTAATTTAACAAGTGTATAAAATAATATAAAAAGTAATACTATTCAGCTACTAGCTGGCATTCATTTGTTGATACTTTATTTATTTACTAGCTTTCCGCCCGCGGCTTCGCCCGCGTGGAATTTTATCTCAGAATCTGTCACAGAAAAACTTTATCGCGCGCGTCCCTGTTTCAAAAACCGGGATAAAAACTATCCTATGTTCTTTCCCGGGACTCAAACTATCTCTATGCCAAATTTCATCAAAATCGGTTGCGAGGTTTAAGCGGGAAAGCGTAACAGACAGACAGACAGACAGACAGAGTTACTTTCGCATTTATAATATTAGTTGGGATAGTTGGGATGGGATTAGTTGGGATTTATAGTGTGTGCGATGCGGCGAAGAACGGAAACGAGCTCATAAGCCTTGTTCGCACTAGTCGAGTATTTTAGTTGAGCAACTCGCCTTTGGTAACTATCTAATCTACTCGGTACTAAAAAAAAAAGTTCGTACTTTGGTCGAATACAGTTTATTAAAGTATTCCAAGTTTTTTATAAGCTCGACTAAACCGCCTGACACGGATTCGTTTAAAGCCCGAACTGCGAGCACGTAGAACATTTTGTCCAATGACCCCAAGCTACCCTTCTTTTTCGCTCGCGCATAATTATATTGCTGTCGCGACTGTGCAACGGGCGCACGCAGTAAGTGTGCGAGCGCGACAACATAATTACGCGCGAGCGATAAGGATGGGTAGCTTGGGGTCATTGGACAAAATTCTACGTGCTCACGGACCAGGCTTTAGTTCGAACAAGGCTTTAAAATTAAGGCCTACGCGCGTCTGAGTGTGTCACCGAAAATTGTATGAGCAGCGCAGTGTGGCGCGGACGCGTGACACGGGTGTCCTCACGCGGGCATCCGCAAGTTTCCTCCTCCGTGACTCCGGACTCCGTGCAAGTTTTGGCATAGGCCCCTAGACACTCAGATCGTCGTGAGATGGTTTATGTTTGTGTGCTCTATGGCTGTGGGGATAAGATTCAGTTGTTTTAGCGTAGGCACTCAGATCGTCGTGTGGTAGTTCGTGCGAGTGTGTGCTCTATAGCTGTGGAGATAAGACTCACTTCTTCTTGTTCTTGGGCTGCGCGCGCGGCGGCGTGTTGGGGCGGCCCATGTTGAGGCCGGAGTACAGCTTGCGCTTGTCGGCCGGCTTCAGGATCTGGAACGAGCACATGAGAGTCTCGTCCACCGACATCAGCGCGCCTGGAACAATATTTATGCAGTTGATTACATTGTTCAAATCACCATGGGATACTCAAGATTTTGTTCAAAAAGAAAAGAAATATTAGGCGAAGAACAAATGGTGGTGCCTAATGACATTGTCAAACTTGTAAATGAGAGGATAAAATGAAGAAGTCAAGTCTCCGTCCAGCAATGCGGCTGCAGGGCTAGGATGCGCACCGTCATAATTATTTATTTGCTTTATCGACGTCAAAATGTATGGGCAAAATCGATAAAATGGCGTGACAACCGCTTATCGCGACGCGCATCCTAAGCCTACAAGTAAGGGGAACGGTCCCTATAACAATCTATTCTAGTAGCTGAAAAGGTGACATGTGTGGTGGTGAGGTGAAGGTAGCAAGCGCAGCGTAGGACATCACCCACAATGTAGCAGGAAGGAAGGTGCTGGATGCAGGCCACCACAACCAACCGGTCAATCTTTTTAGAACGGGACTATTCCCACCTCTCGTTCCCACCACTGCAACTCCTGTGTAGCCAGGATCTACAGCTTGACCGCCACAAAAACCCAACCAATGAAGGTCAAGTTTGTCCCGGGGGAAAGTTAAACTGTCATTGGACCCGCAACGAAATTAATCAGAAGAACATAGGAGAAGTTCGAAATTAAGGTTCGACTTCCCTCCATTGCAAAGCGGATGACAGGTGACAAACAAAAGTTTAAAACCTTTATGAAAAGATTATGCACCACGGACAATAAATTAAATTAAGGGGGCCTATCTTATGAGCAATTAGCAACTACCTGCCAATAAATTTTTCCTTGTCGCGACAAGATCGGTGTAATAAATTGCGGAAACAGATGTATGTTGTATTGAATTAAGCATTATATCACGTTCATGTTTCCAAAGATCACACTCCCACAAGATATGATGGGCAGACTGCTCATGACTGACATCATCAGTGGAACACTCGCAAAAAGGAGACGGAACTAGTTTGAATTCGTGAAGTTTATGTTTAAAGTTGCCATGTCCCGTGAGGAACTGCGACGAGCAATGGTCGATTTCTAACCATCGCCTAGTTAGACGTTCGCGTACATTCGGGAAGAATTTATATAAGTGACGTCCTTTGACTGACGTATTCCGACGACTTCTCGGAAATCAAATAATCGACTTATTTTAGAACGATCGCGGCTATTTAAGAAATCGGAGGTTATATTTTCCCTTGATGCGAAGTACATAGCCGCACGCTTTTGTACCTCTAAGTCAGTAAATCATTGGGGGAGGTCTACATTCAGCAGGGGACTGTGGCTGAAATGATGATGTGGTGAAATTAATCAAGGTACTCACCGGCGTTGTCGAACTCGCCGCAGTAGTTGGGCGCGGAGAACAGCGTGACGAGCTGCCGCTTGGCGAAGAACTCGTAACCGTCCTCCACAACCTGGTGCGCGCGGCAGATCAGGTCGAACTCGTGCTTCGACAGGAACTTGCCCACCACCTGCGAACGTTTAGTTATGTTGCTTGAATCTGTGAAGCTTGATATGCACCTACAATTGAAATAAACTATTTTGATTTGATTTGAAGCTTCTGGGGCCTTGAATTAGTTATTATTGAAATTCTCCTTCCTAAAGTTGCTGTGCCCTAACTGGGTCCACATTGTATAACTGCCTAAATTGTAAGACCTATAAATGTGAATGCTAATGTGGTTATGCAATAAAAGTATTGAGTATTGAAATCGGGCCATCGCCGGGAAGGACTGTCTGTGGCTAGACTAGAGGTTTTGTCTGGACGTCCTTCTGATTTAGTGAGCACCACGTAACCTACTCTGTCCTCGCAGGGTAGGTATGTAGTTCAATGCTTTTTCCCCTGTTAAAAGGATATTTGAAATAATAAACATGAATAATATAATAGGACAATATTAGCACAACAAAAAACGAAGATAGAAGACGGTATGGTGTGTGTGAGGACTGAGCAGTGCCACGGTTGTCGCAAATGCATGACTATTCATTCCCAAAGCTGCAACTCCTTTTTCAGCCAAGATCTACAGCTTTATTGGCGGTCACCAATAAAAACCCAAGCAGTGAAGGCCAGGTCTATTGCCGCAAATGAGATGGCCATTGAAATGGGACCCACGGTGACGAAGGCCATGATTTTCAGTGAGAACGCCCCAAAAGCAGAGTAAGAGTCACGGAACTAAAGTAATATGACGCAACTAAACATTCTGTAATCTGTCCCCTATAGTTCAAAGACAATACAAACAAATGTCCAATAAAACAAAGCGCTAGGATGTACACAGTTGAGTAATATGAATTTGGACGTATCAGTGAACTGATAGGGCATTGTTATCAGTTATTGATTGTCATACGATATGACGTGACTGTTAATACCTAGTGAAGTCATTCACCGCTTGCAAACTATTATTTTCTTAGTCAAAGAAAATATAAAACGGGCTTTCTCGAGTTTCGACAGATTTATCAATCGTTTGATAGAAGAAACTTGATTCATTTATGACTTATCGTTAGCTCTGTTTGAGTTATGCGTGGAACAAATGTTATTTTAATGAAGACGTGATGTGTCTTCGTATTTCAGTATGTTCCTCCGATCATTAGTCGTTATTTTCGTAGCTTAGTGTTTTAAGAGAATTAGATTGTATCGACTCTCGAGGTAGATAGTGTACAATCACTTTATTGCACTTGTTCCCTTGGTCAGAACGTAGTCTTGATTGAATCCACTTTTTTTTTTTTTTTAATCTTTATTTATTTGGAGGCTTTTGTCTATTAAGACACGACAGCCCCATCGAACCTTAAACTAAATTTACAATTTAATGATTGAATCCACTTGAACGTCTTGAAATATCTCTGGCTCAGAGTGAGCTGCAAAACAATTTTTAGGCAGTTTTGCTCGCGCCTTGACACTTAAAGGCGAAATATAGGGTAGGTTGTAGGAGGCATATAATTTCTAGGGGGAACTCGCCTATTCCCACCTCTCGTTCCCACCGCTGCAACTCCTGGGCCAGGATCTACAGCTTGCCTGCCAATAAAAACCCAACCAGTAAAGGTAAAGTTTGTCCTGGGGGAAAGCTAAACTGTCATTGTACCCGCAACGAAATTAATCAGAAGAACATAGGAGTTCGTAGATACGTTGAGACTTCCCTACACGATGACAGGTGACAAACAAATGTTTAGTATTAGTAACCTTTAAGAAAAGATATGCACCACGAACAATAAACATCAATTAAGGGACCTATCTTATGCGCTATTACTACCTACCAATAATAATAAGCAAGGGAATTTTCTAGGGGAGAAGTTGCCTGTCTCTCCTTGGGTACTTAGGTATACAAATGTAACCGGTTGCTGGAACCAACGACAGATTTGAACGGAAGATTTTAACTGTACCAACCTCCGTGCCGAAGGTAAAACTGACACCGCGGTCGTTCTCTCCCCAGCCGGCGGTATCCTTGTCTAGGTCGGACCACAGCAACCGGTCAACCTGATGTACGCATGTATCCTTCATTGGCGTTGAAAAGGTTAAACCTTTGTTTGTCACCTGCCATCTGCTTTGCAACAGAGGGAAGTCGAACCTTAATTTCGAACTCCTATGTTCTTCTGATTAATTTCGTTGCGGGTCCAATGACAGTTTAACTTTCCCCCGGGACAACGTTGACCTTCATTGGTTGGGTTTTTATGGCAGTCAAGCTGTAGATCCTGGTACACATGAGTTGCAGTGGTGGGAACGAGAATAGTCCTGTTATACCAACCTCAGTGCCGAAGGTAAAACTGACACCGCGGTCGTTCTCTCCCCAGCCGGCGGTGTCCTTATCTGGGTCGGACCACAGCAGGTCGCACAGCAAGCCCTGGTCGGGCACGTCGGTCGGCCGCATGATCCGCCGGATCTGCTCCATCGCTTGCAGGTCGGGCGAGAGACCGCCATGGCAGCAGAAGATTTTCTCGTCAACTGTGGACAAAGAGAGGGGGATTATAAATAAACGTTTGCATCATTTACTGTAGTAAAATAGAGAGGTCGTACTCCTGTAGTGGAGACTAAAAGACTTGATGATAATGATCTTCAAGTATGACTTATAAAGTGGCTCTGTTGTCAAATATAAAATAGAATAAAACTTTATTGACACAGTAAAAAACAAGACAATAAGAATAAAAACAGTTACTGAGCCACTGCGCCAATAGGCTCCCGGTCAGCATTTATCTTGACATGCTCGTAAGGACATGTCAAGAAGCTGGTCTTCCGCGTACTCCCTTGCTTTTGGCATTTAGCCTATTTTACTATTGGTTTGCGAAGTGGCTCTGCTGTCGATTATCTTAAATGAAGTGATTCGTAAGTGGTTCTGCTAAACGTACTCGTAAGAGAACATTATTCTACTAGTTCAGTGTGTCTTCAATATATTAAAATATTATTTGGCCCTGATAAAGGTTTGAATTTAAACGACAACATCCAGCATTTACAATAGTCCCTACCAACTTATTCAAAGCTAATTTTGCAAACTGCCAATCTAAATTTACAAGTGGCACTGTAGAAGGATCGGGCAGCCATTGGATATTCTAGAGATTTTTGCACATCAATCGATTTCGTATGCTCTCATTAGAATTACAGATTCTTTCTGGCGAAGAGGCAGAGCAGCTGTGGGCTCTATTGATAGTTACGAGGCTATTTTTATTACGGGTGCGAATTTAAATACAGTTAAGGGCCTATTCTATTCACGTTGAAACATATTTACAATTGATAATAGATCAGAAAAATTCTCGTGGGGGCAGAAAAGTTCTTGAGTGGCGACCATGGGCCGGAAGACGTAGTTTGGGCAGGCTCGCGGTCGCCAATCGAGAACCTTCACGATCGTCGATCGTCGGAATTAGGTGGACCGACGATCTCGTGAAGGTTGCGGGAAGAACCTGGATCCGGGCAGCGCAGGACCGGTTGTTATGGAAATCCTTGGGGGAGACCTTTGTCCAGCAGTGGTCGTCATTTGGTTGAAACGGATACGTCAGAAATTGAAAGAAGCTGAAAGGAGATTGCCAAAAACGAAGACGCAAAAAGACCAGTTACCAGAATCATATGAGAGGCGCAGTTATACGAACATACGAATAGAATGCTCATTTTCACCATGAATCCCTAATAGTATCCCTATAAGTAACCCCTTGTGAAAACAAAATTTCTGCTAAGTGTTACCATAGGGGTCACTTATAAATTAGGGATTGATGGTGAAAACGGGCATAAGAATCTTAGTTACGGCACTAGATCCGTGTAAGATCGAACATGTCCATCGTACAATAGTCACGTGACGTATACGAAGAACAACACAATTAGCTTATCCATAGACGTTCCGTTCGCTCGTGTTGGCGCCGCGATAACCTCAGGTACGTGTGTTTACCAGACGGCCGAGATAAACAATGGAGACGTTTCCAGAAGGAACTGCCCATCACGAGAACTGGCTCGACTTACGCCCGTATTTACAAACATTACTATGAGGTCTCACAGTGCGCGTGGACGCACAGGGTGACAAACCAATCACAGAGCTCTATTCAACGCTGTGCGTTCGATTTGCCGCTTCACTGAAGCAAGCATCGTTTGTGAATACGGGCGTAAGAGCGCACTTTACAAATCATGTGCCTATGTACTAGATAATGGCTGCTTTGGAGATCTGTGTGTACACTACAGGTACCTGAAAAGGGTCTACATACTAAGAAATAAGATTTTTTTTCAGGAAATTCAACACTGGCACAAGAATTGATTAGCCAACTTTTGTGACGCAGTCACAGGACTGAATGCCTATGAAAATGACACAGGAAAGAAATGTATAATAATGATTCAATATGCGATTCGATCGATCCGTAAAGTTGTTTAAAACCTTAATTGTATTGTTCATTTATCTTGGTAAGTTAACGTCACCCTGATTCGACCTAATGGCTTTAATCCGGATACTAATGAAAATTTATAGCAGAGGATAGAGAACCGTTGTAAAGCCATTGTGCCTCCGTAAAACGTAAATGAGAACACATATTAATTAGCATCTTCCAGGGGATTTAGCAAGGTGACAATAAACGATAGAACATTTGACTGGTAATTTTCAATCGTCTCTTAATTGACAATAGTTTCTTGCGCTGCTTCTTCTCAGCACTGGCCCATTCATTGTCCCGAAGCAGTGGTATGGTTAATACTGAGACGTGTAAAACTGCTGTTTAAAAGCCTACTTGCAAAAAAAACATGGGTTTTATGAGTATTAACCAATCCTACTTGAAATGTTCAAACTTCGAGGCACAATGTTACACGTGAACGTAGTACTTGATTTAAATTTTACACGCTAAATCTTGGCAAAACATTTCGAATTGAAAGACCAACTCATATTGCTTTGTATGTGACTTGTTTTCACACTTGTTTATGTAAATAATATCTTTATCTTTGAGCGGGAACTACTAACATGTGCCTTTCAAGTCAAGTAAAGGTATTGCGTCGAAAAATAGCGCGGTAAAGTGTAAAGTGTGTGGATTTAAAGTAAATGGTTTAAGACAATACTATAGGATTGCGTTCTATTCTGTATTCTATTCAATAAATGGGCCAGTGCTGAGAAGAAGCAGCGCAATAAACTCAAGCCACTATTGTCAGCCTATACTAGGTCTAGCGCTTAACGCATTCAGTGCCTGAGGTAAGGGACCGGCACGGGAGGAGTGACATTGACATATTGATGTGACAGATCATAGCATTCCCTGCGTGTTCGAATCAGAAATGAGGAGATCAGTAGGAGAACCAGAATGACTGACATAGCCCGCAGAATCGCTAAACCAAGTGGGCAGTGGGCGAGGCCGCTAGGGTAGGAAAGTTCTTGAGTGGCGACCACGAGCCGGAAGACGTAGCGTGGGAAGGCCTGATCCTGCAGGACCGACGATCTGGTGAAGGTCGCGGCAGGTGCCTGGATGCGAGCGGTGCAGGACCGTTCTTTGTGGAAATCCTTGGAGGAGGCCTTTCGTCTATCATCATGTCAGATTGCTCAAATAGACATTTTGCCCTCAAGTCTATCCGACGCTTTACGGCCTCTTCCTACGCCTGCATTATCCATGAGCTAGGGTTGAATCCCGTCAGGAAATAGGAAATCTACAGGCACGGGTGACAATTACTCCAATCATCGACAAGGATGGGGCTGCGATGAATTCTTAACAAGGCACGTTAACAGCAGGTCTAGGGGAAATTGGCCGGTCGTCCGGCGTCGAACGGTACGCGTCCCAACTCCCACCGGTGTTGATCTGAATGCCTAGGCTGTAGGGTCGCCACGCAGGTGCCAAGTGCCTGATAAAATATTTTTCTGGATGACGGTAACGGTAGGAAGAACGATTGGTAAGTAAATTGTGCCCGATGTGGGTACACAGGAGCGAATGTTGCTCTCATACTAGAGCTTGCATCACAACATGATGCGAGAAAACGGGATTCAATCCCAAGCACAGGTTTAGGCCCTTAATTAGTTGAGTTTTTATTTTTAAACCTATCACAGGACAAAATGTTCACTTGTGTTTGAGCAGAGTTTTGAGAGTTACACAATTAGAACCTCAATTTGATTTGAGTTCAGATAAAGAATATCCCTTTGCCTTCTCCCTTCGTCTCAATGAACACGTCACTTTTGTATTTTGTGACGTCCTAGACAGAAAACTGATTCTGGACTTGGGGAGTATGTTAGCTCAAAAATCTCGACAGTTATGCCCGTTTTCACTATCAATCCCTAATTTTTAAGTGACCCGAAGGTAACACAACAGAAATTTTGTTTTCATAGGGGTCACTTAAACACTTGGGATTAGTGGTGAAAACGGGCATTAATCAGGTCAAACGTGATGCATGGTGGCCCTACTTGTTAGGCATGTACCGGTGACCCCTTTGTGTACCTACCGCGAATATTAAAGCGCGCTAGTTCTGCGAAGGTGAGATTTGGGGACTGTACATGACGTGGGTTCAACGTGTTTATTTTGCATGTTGCTATTTACTTGTTTTAATAATATTCGTGGATTTATTTAGACGATCTCTTCGTCAGATATTCCTTGAAGTTAGTTTCAGTTTTGGTCGATTTATTAGATTTTTATTTTATTTTCTATTTTAATGCTTTTTTGCACACATAATAAATAGTGGTACAACAGGCGAGCTTAATGCCATGTGGCATTCTCTTCCAGCTCACCAGATTTGATCATTTATGATAAAAAAATATGAAAATTGGAATAATGAAAAAGCGAAAATATTGTTACCTAAAATGGCTTCGTCCTATCTTCTAGCACCTTTTCAGAACATTTACACGCTTCTGTGACAACAAAAAAGAAAGGAAATTCTGTTAAACATATTTCGGAACGAATTCCAAGTAATGAGATTCCATTAGTACACAATTGAATAAACGTATCATCACATAATGCGATATCGCGTCCATTGCCTCAAGAACTCTCCTTTCGTTATTTCATTTACAGAGCGTTGACACTTTATTCAATTTTCATCACACGTGTCAGGTAAAAAACTTTTGTTTCTTTTTTCTTTCTTTAAAGATTTATATATTTTTTATTTCTTGTTTGGTTTATATTAAGACTAAGTTATTATATTTCTTTTTATTTTATATTAAGACAAAGGCAATAATCCAAGGGTTTAATATGAGCTACGAGAGCGTTCAACTCCGACGAGCAATAATTCATCCTAATGCTCCTGAGTTATTGTCAGATTATGCGAGAAGCACTAGGAATATTAAATAACAAACTTAATATTATGTTCGTATTTCTATACGAACATAATATTATAATAACACTGGTCAACAAAAAAAATAAAATTGTTTGTTTCCTGTGATTTTTTTTCTGTTTCTATCTCAAATTGACGCATATTTTTTAAATATGGCAACAGTTTTTCTCTAACAGCTTTTGTTTTTGAGTTATAGCTATCTACCTTCATTTAATATTTTTACTTGGATTTTTGATTTAATTGGACAA